GCTTAAATGAGCTAAATGGATTTGCACTCAAGAAAGATGGCAAAAAAACACATTTTTGTACTTCTTATACGGGCCCTTTGTAAGCCGATTTCGGAATAAAAATAATTTAACCTTTTAATATATTAATGGTTTTACGTTTTTTTACCACAGTACCACTTACAAACTTTATTATAATTAAGGATCTACTTGAGAATATAGTAAATCAATCATTTTTAGGGTTAGGGTATGCAAATATCCATTTAATATTTTAAACAAAAATCCCGCCTTAATGTTAAGTTCATGTTAATGTATAAAATTGGAAACTTTTAGCACATGAATAAGCTACAAATGATTCACTCAAACAAGAGGTGAATAACATAAAAAAGTAGGTTATTCACTATGCGATTTAAGGTATTAAAGATATTTTGATTTATGTATGTATGTATATAAAAGATATAATAAAAGATATTATATCTATATATTATATGTTTTTTAAAAAAAAAAAAAGATTCTTCATCATTTTAAAAGTTTTAGTTTTTTAGTTTTTTTTTTTAAATTTTAAGTTTTAACTAAATACATATTCCAGTAGTCTTAGCTTTTCTCTTAAATCAAATTTGTAATCCGTTAAAATATTATTCAAATTGAGACTGAAATTGATTGACAAATTATTAAGTTATGCTGTAATTCATTAAATCGCTTTTCCCTTCTATCCAATTCCAGGTTTTCAGCTGAAATGGGAATGGAGGAATGCGAACAGAAATGTCGCAAGAAATGGAACAATTGTTGTTGTTGCACTGGTGACCTGTTTACAGTGATGTAAACATACACACAAAAACTGAAAGTAAGAGGGAGTGAGAGATAGTTGCACCTGGCGCAGATTCCCCTCTTCCCCCAATCCCTTCACCCACCATCAACAAAAAAAAAGAAGTTGTAAATTACGTTTGTTTGGTTCCCCAACTATATATCGCCATATATTGTGCAATCCAGCAGCCGCCAGACGTTGCTCGTGCAATGCTTTTCAATTTTCCACAAAAGCCAAATAAAAAGTTAGGAGCAGAAAGAGATGGCATGATGCTGCATTTACCGTTAGCAATTGGAAACCAGTTCTGGGAAAAAAGCCCCAAAGAAGCAGAAACGCTGCCAAAAATTAAATGTTAACTGGCAAAATGAAACAAAAATGCATTTTGTGCTTTTTTAAAGCAATATGGAAAACAAGAAAAAGAAGACAAGCAGAAGCCTGCAAAAGATCTTGCAACGGTAAACTGGTTTGCAGGGCAAAAACAAAAAAATAATACCCTAAAAAAACTGCATCCAGAAGATGTAAAAAGAGTAAAGAGTAAAAAAAATGATAGAGAGGGACAGAGAGGGAGAAAAAGAGATTGAAGGAGGGAGAGTGAGAGCGAGATGAAGCGATGGGCATGAATGAAGATACAAATGAAATCTGAAAATATTTAAGGTTAGCCTTAATTTCTCACATACATATGTATGTACACTCAAAAAAAAATAGGCAGAACAAAATGTTTATAATTTTACATTTTTGGGGCATTAAATAGTAAATCAGTTCAACGAATAAAATTGGAATGATTAACATTATTATTAAAAGTAAATAAAATAAATTTAAAAGTATAATTAAATTAATGGACATTTGTTTTAGGTTGAAACACTTTTATGAAAATTGGTTTAATTTTTTTTTGGAACTACTACATATGTATGTAAGCATGGAAAAGATTTGTTAGATAGTTCGTTAGTTTTATTTGTATCTCTTGAAATAGGCTTTCAAAACGGATGCCATTGGGCAAATATTGACCTGAAAGCGACTATCTTTTCGAGCAGTGTAAGGGTCTGGGTTTGACCGATCGTCAGTCATTCACGCGGTCGGTCGGTACACGTAAGGTCTGTCAGCATATGAAAACCTGTCGCCTCACCTGCCCGATTCCCCGCCCAACGGGGTCGAGCTCATATCTTAATGAGAAAAGTGAAAGTGTCAAGAAATAAGCAAAGCGACGGCCAAAAAGGGGTTCAGTTAACAGTGAATAAATAAAAACGCGCCACTGAGTCAAGCCGAGAGATACGAAATTCAGTCAGAAATCAAATCCGGCCGGGCTAACAATTGGCTAACCGATAACTGAATTGAACCCAATATCTGGGTATGGGAATTGTTGCAAATCTGTCATCGATCTTTCGATTAGATTAATTCAAGGTGACCCCAAATTAAAGCATCGAATCAGATGAAAACTAGGCATTTTCACATGTTGGTAGTTTAATACATAATTCATTGGTTTCCGCTTTTAGATTAGGATTTCCTCTGTGAAACTTTTTAATTAGGTCATCTTGAAGATGTCTCTGCCAATATTAAGCGATTTCTTTTGGAAACGTCTTAATTAATAAATAATTTATGATCCAAATTTTTTGTCAAGCAAAATATTTTTGTCAAAGAACATGGTCGAAATATAAAACTTAAATATTTTGTTTTTAGTTGTAAGATCTATTTTGACACCTTTTCAATTTTTGAGTTATTAATATTTTTGTCGACGACAAGAGAAATTGTGTTTTTTAGTGACGACCAAAATAAATGTTTTCATCCTCAAAGTAGTTAGGTAAAGGGTTTTCCATTTCCCAATATCTCTGAATAAGATTCATATAAAGTATGGTTTCTTTGAGTGATTTCTTCTGATGCACAAGTCGACAATCGGTTTTGACACTTCAGAAATCATTCGACCAAATATTTAGTTGCACAAATGTTCATATTTTTTGGATCACTTATGGCGCATTGTTGCTGTGTTTCTGGGTTTTTTTTTTGTAGTTTTTTAATGCCATTGTTGATGCTCTTTGCGGTTGCTGTTGATGTTAATTGTTTGTTGCTGTTTGCGCTTGCGTCACGCCTGACACTTTGACCATGAACGCATTTCTTGGCAAGGAAAACGAAGATCGCACGGATGAAATTGAACCAAATTTCGGTCGTAACTTTTATTTTCCACGCCGTCCATGCCACGGCTTCTTTCCCCATCGGCCGTTTTATTTCTTTTTTTATAATTACTTCATTTGCAATCTCTCGTGTGGCAATAGAAGAAACTACCGTTAATTAAAAACGCAAACGCACGGCCAAATGAGCGCAGGTGAGTGTACACTGAGAGAAAAAGCAATACGTTTCGATAGTTACCTCATAAATAAATCAACAATGTACATACATATGTACATATGTGGCTAGGCGAAAAACGTATGGTATTATAAATTATCATGACCACACAACTCTATTGTTTTGATTTTTATTTACTCTAAAACACTTAAAAAATAAAATTTGTGTATGATTTTACAAAATATTAAATGGTATACTCTGTTTGGAGTCGAAATTCAATTTAAGTTTTCAGTAATAGAAGGTTATAAACTTGAAAATGTTTATTAAATATGCAACCAACCAAAAATATTCAAAAATTTGAATAACATATTTCGTTGTTTTTACCAAATTTCTCTGTCGGTTAAAGTTTATTTACACCTTGTTTTAAAAAATAAAAGTAAATATATCCAATTTAACGAAATACTATCTTTACTAATTTCTATAACAAATTAATCCGAATATCCTGTTTTTATTTAACGGTAGTTGCAGCGATTGTATATTACGTTCTTATGTTTATTTAATAATTGATAAAACTATTTATATTACTACGAAAAATACAGTTTTTCTCTGTGTAAAGAAGAGAGAGGCTCGCTGTTGTAACAACGGCGCCAAAATATTTTCACTTGACTTTTGCGGCTCTGTTTTTATGGCCCCGCGAAGTTCACCGGGGAACTCAGATCGCAGATCGGGGAAAAAGCAGGGAGGCGAAATGGGGGATCGTTATGCAATGGGGAGAAAATTGACAATAAGACAAAGCGCAAAATACAAAATACAAACAAAACCGCGTGAGAGACTGCGACACAAAAACTGCAATGTCACTTACCCATTATTAATGCCCCGGCGTATTTGCGGGTATTTTCGGGGCTATCTGGTGGCAAAGGGGGCATGGCAGGCCAGTCAGTAACGCCTCACGTCTCCGGACGGACAGATTTACGGACGGACCGGGGCGAAAACTGTGCCACGGTAATCACACCGTAACCGAATTCCGAAAAACTGAAAACTTAAATGCGTGCGGAGGCTGCGACGAAATGTTGGATGCACAAAGGCTCATACGATATGATATCTGTGATTTGCTGATCATGAGCTAATTTAAAATTAATTTTAAAAGACTTTGCTGATCATGAGCTAATTTAATTAATTAATTTTTAAAAAAATAAAGGTACAAAATCTTTTAGAAAATCATGGACAAATAAAAAACACCTGAAAATTAATACAATACCCAGAAATATTTGAAAAGTGGTTAATTTAAATTGATTAAATAAAAAATGTAAATAATTATAAATATTGATCAATTTTACAATATATTTAAATATGGTTTCAGGAAAGGTTAATTTTACCGAATAAATGTAAAAATCTTTGACTTTGTTATGTTAATGAAAAAAAATATGTTAAAGAATGATATTTTAAGCTCATTATTGTTTTGACCTTGAGTTACAGAACCTCTAACAACCGAATGTCCCTACAAATTGGGTTTTAAGAGATTACAAAATCAAAACCACTTCTATTTTGAATACATATTTATAAGGGGCTCCTAAAAATATGCTTCACTTTTACTTTTAGAAAATATAAAAGTGAAAAAAAGGTTTAAAAGTTGTAACTGAACTGAATCAGTATGCTGCCTACTTTTGGTTGCCTCGGAGAGTCTATTTAATAATTTTTGCTTGCAGAAATACTGGTGGTAACCCCTTTTCTGAATAAATACACAGATGTACTTACACCTGATTCATTGAAACCACTGCACATCGATTTAATGTCAAAATTCTGATGTAGCCGTTTGATATGTTTGTGCTTTTTATTTCGACATTTCTAAGTGCCTTCGAGCGTGTATATCTTAGATATATAAATATATATATATATATATTTAGTTGGTATTGGTATACAAAAAAGACGCCTAGCAAAACAAAAGTCCATATAAAAGGACGATACACGTATATATATAATACACTAAAACAGTTAACATCCTTTTCGATATCCCATTCCAATTTGGTAGCACTAGTTTCGGTTTGTTTTTTGGAAGCCACATCTTTTGCAGTTCAACCGGGAAACATCAAGACCCCACACATATATATGTAGGATATATATGTGTATATCGGAATTATCACAAATGCTTATGATCTAGCTAAAATAGCGAATAGTATTGCGTGCTTTAAGCGCGCAGGGATGCTCGTGAGATGCGTGTTGTAGTGGGTGCAGGTGTCTTCGACCAGCTCTGCTCCTCGGCGCTGGCGAAGATCAGGTAGATGAAGTTACCGCCAATATTCAAGCCGGCCGCCAGCCAAAATACCAGATGCCACTGGGTCAAAGTCTCGCGATGGTTGATAATCAACCCAATGACATAGGGCGCCATAAAGCCGCAGATATTGGCCGCCGAGTTGGTAATCCCGTACATGGTGCCCGCATATCTGGGACTTAGGGCTATGTGGTTCATCTGGTTGCCGGCGTAGACGGCTCCGCCAAAAGAGCCCACGCCGGCCAGCATAAAGGTGACCCACACCCAATCACAACCCACGTAAATGATGCCAATCAGGCCCAGCGACGGCACCACCGAGGCCACCGTGTTCCACAGCTTGTACGAGTTCAACAGGGATATGTAGCGTCTGGCCAGCATCCAGTCCGCGAGGGCGGAGCAGGCGATGCCCACGAACCAGGAGGTTAGATAGGGCACGGCATTCAGCAGGGCGTTCGACTGGATGTCAAAGTGCAGGATGTTGCTCATGTAGGTGGGCAGTTCGGTCAGCTGCGTGTAGAAGGCCCAGCCCTGGCCGCATTGGGTCAACAGGATGGCCCACAGGGGCACAGAGGTGAGCAGCGATGACCATGGTATGGGCTTCTCCTGCGGCCCTCTTAGATTCACCCCATCCTGCTCCTCATCCTGATCCTGCTCCTCCGCCACCAATCTATCCTGATTGACCAGCCTGAGACACCTTTCGATGTACTCACGCTCCGACGCGGAAATCCGGGGATGATCGCTGGGCTTGTCGTACACCAGATACATCCAGGCGACGAACCACAAGATGCCCAGCAGTCCAAAGATGTAGAAGGCCGATGGCCAGCCGCCCAGAAAGTCCAGGGAGCAAAGCCATCCGGCCAGGGGCATGGATATGACGGTGCCTATATTGGAGCCCGCATAGACGACGGCAGCGAACTTGTTCCTCTCCAGCGGCGGTATCCAGTGGGCCAGCATGGCGTGCATGGCCGGATAGGTGACACCCTCGCCCATGCCCTCCAAAATGCGGACCAGCACGAGCAGCGGCAGATCCCAGTGGGCGGCCAGCGGGGTGAGAAGTGTGAAAATAGCCGTGACCAGCACTCCGTAGCCGTAGATCTTCTTGCCGCCGTACAATTCGGCCATCCGTCCGCCGGGCACTTGGGTGAGCACATAGCCATAGAAGAAGCTGCCCAGGACCAATCCCTGCGTGGCCTCGTCCCACACAAACTCGCCCTCCCTTTGGGGATTGGGATTACTGCCATTGTGATTGGGTTCCGGCAGCGGACAAGTGTCCGCATCGATCACCGATGAGTTGCTGTGCGGTATGGCCGTTTGATTCACCATGGCCACAATGGCCACCGAGAGATTGACACGCATCGCATAGACGACGGCAAATCCCAGGAAGCCCATGAAGCCGAAAATGTGACGCGTCTTTGGGCCACAACCATCGTTTACTGCGGGAAGGGAAGAGGAGAGCAAGGGCTTGATTAGGAGGCGTTTCAATGATATCAGTTCCGACCTAGCCAGTAGACACTAACATATTACTTTGATAAAATTATTGCCAAACCAAAAAAATTGACTGATAAACAGGTTAAATAATGGTAAAAAATATGATCTAAGAACTATGTTCGATTCTTTAGCTTTAACATAGTAATTTATTTATTATGTTTAAAGTTTCAACTTCAATTTTGTTATGAACTGTGTAGATCTTTTTACAAATGTAAAACAAGTTTACTTATTTATATATAATGCCAACTCAAAAAAACGTTCTATACCCTGCAAAATTAATTCATAATACTGTCGAGCTGAACAAATTAAAAAAATTCCCTTCTATACCCAGCAACATTATTTCATTATGCGATAGATATTATTGGCAAAATTAAAATTTTTACTATATAAAAATACAGACCTATATATACCCTAATTATGTTGAAATATGTTCTGGGAAATATTTTGTATTCATACACTTTAACATGTTAATTCAATGAACATACTTTGAGGTTCATATAATAGTTATTTTTTTTTTTAATTTTTACTTTTATTTATTTACACATTTTTAAGAAGCTTAGCCATTGGCGTAGTCTTCAAAAAAAATGTGTAGATAATTTGAATTTGTTTAAAGTTGCTAAAAGTTATTTCGCATTACGAAAAATAATAGATAGGCATGTACGACTATATCAGAGAAATGTGCTGTGAACTGGATAATTTTCCGTGAATATCAAAACCAAAGGCTGGCTGTACAGAGCTTCTCTCTTTTAAAGCAGAATTATTTGTGCAATGGAAACTTTAAAATTAAGTCATCAAAAAGGGTATTATTTAATTATAGAAAATAAATCATCACTATATAGTTTTGACATCAAATTTCAGAAATTCATTTTTTAAAAGTAGCTCAAGTTGACAAAAAAACTGTATGTCAAGTTAAAAAAACGCTAACTAAACAAAAGTAATAAATATTTAAAGTTCTATAAAAATACGTGATAGCAAATTATAAGAAGTATAAATTTTTGTGTCAATTATTTGGTGTTAAAAAACTACAGAATGTATATATTTAGAGAAAACATTACTTATTAATATAGAGCACTAGTTTGTATATCAATTATATAAGCAGAAAGGGTGAAAAATTTAAATACAAATATATAGTTTCTTTTTTTTTGAGATTTTAATGAGGCTTGTAAGTCAAAATGATCTAAAATTTGTGGTATCTTAGTAATACCTTTGTCGGGTCTTATCTACTTACCCTCTGCTGCGCCGCTGGAGCGGATTAGTGGTCGTTCGCCGGAGCAGAACGCCTCCCGCTCGTCATCCGCCTCATCATCGGATCGTTCCACCGAGGCGGACGAGTTGGAAGAGGACGACGGCCGGCGTAATCGGGATGCGGTCGTATCCTCGTAGTAACAGGACGCGTCCCGCGACTCATCCGTCCACTTGTGCGGTGGCATCGTGGTGATTTGCTTGGATTCTTATTGAAGATTTTGGAGCGTTCAAAACAATTGGAGCTTTTGGAGCGTTTGGAGCTGCAACTGCCAGCGCATTTTCTCTGCCGGAGCGGCAGTTGTTTTGTAGTTGTTAGTGGAAGCGGGATTCGGAGAGAGGGAGAGAGAGCGCGAGCGGACACCTCACCACGCCAACGGGAACCAGCGCAGACTGACGGACTGGCAAACTGGCAACGGGCAACGGCCAGCGCAACAACAAACCTAAACAAAAGGCAGCACCAACAAACGTTGCTTCTAACCACAAGAGGGACCTCAGTGGCGTAGTCAAGGGGGCGAGTGGGTTTAAAAAGCCAAGTTATTTGTCTTTGCTTGTTGCTCAAGATTTCAACATTACCATAAATTCAATTAGTTTTGTTAACCATGAAACGTCTCCTTTAACTCGTTAAATTTTTATTTTGAACTTTTATTGTTAAACATATTAACGTAAAACAAGTGTGTTTTGTGAAAAATGAAAAAAATATGAAGAAATAGTTTTTTAAACTAATTTTTTTAAGACATTTATATCACCCCTTTAGTACGCTCCTGGAGACCGCTCTCTCTCTAATGCTCTTTGGAGCTCCAGCTCTCTCGCAGCCGTGTGAAAGTGGAGCAATGAATGGCTGGCAAAAGAGCGTCTACGTCATCCAAAGGGGATGTAAGAACGGGCGAGAACGCCAAAGAGAAAGGGGAGTGAGAGTGAGAAGGCAACAGAAAGGGGGTCGGCTGTGCAAAAGAGATAGCGTCAGTGATGGAGCGAGGAAGAGAGCGCTCTATTGCAATTGTTGTAAAGTACCTAAAAGTACAATATCTTTTGTTTAGTTACAGTGTTAGTTTATTAGCTGCACACACCCGCATTCAAATACACTCACACACTTACCGATTACGATTATAAGGAACTGAATTATTTGTAGGGAAATGAAAACAACGCCAAATTCCAGATAGACAAAATCAAAAAGGGAACTTATACTTAAAACATGACTACACTTGCAGAAGGCTAGCGACAACAACAACAGTAAGGCGAAGAGAGAAAGGCAAAGTATTCGCCAACTGGCTCACACACACACTCAAACAATTGGGGCCAACACAATAGCTCTACGAACATTTAAGCCACATTTAAACAACAAAAGAAAATGAGCAAGAAAAAATGTTCACACACAACTGAAAAATGTTCTTGGAATTACAACATGGTAGATAAGATAAAAAATGGAATTGATCGACTAGAACATTTAAAACAAATGATGTTTATAAAATGTTCTAATAACGTTTTTGACAATTTTAAGTTGTAATCATCATTCTTTCAAAGTCATATTTCTCCTGCTTTTAAATATATATATTATTTGTTGGTAATATCCTTTGTGTATTAATCATTAATGCACAAAAAATCATTTCATCGGCTTTGATTCGGCATACATATTTCTTAAGTTCTATTAATTTGACCTAAAGTGTGCCCTTTTACTGCTAAAATTTCTACTGCTTTGCAGGAGGTTACGTCAAGACTTTCAAGTATTTCTATTTTCGGAGGAGCATCCGCGCATGTCCCGATAATGCCTGTTGCATCCAGGAATCCATAGACCTGCCCCAATACCCCCATATGCAGAACGAAATTTTAGGGGTTTGTTCAGTGGACAATTATTGGCAGAGTATACAAAACAGTTCTGACTTCATACTTCTGCATAGTTCAATTGGAACATTATGGTACTTTAAAAAGAATAATAGATTTCAAAAACTTTAAGTTTTATCGCAATACTTTAAAAAAGCTTATAGTATTGGCTATTAGCCTATTACTTTTTATGTTTTTATATGAGTCTGTAAAAATTGATTCGCTACAGAGATTTCATTAAATACCTCCAATTGAACTGTGCGAAAAGCCTAAAGATTCAAGTAAAATGCTTAAGAGAGGTATTTGTAAAGTATTGCTGAAAGAGCACCTGAATATGTTTCCTGATCTCCACTATTAGTTGGCAAAAATGGTGCCCACGGGAAATGCGATGACCCTCCGTTTGTCGCCCACCACTAAAGATTCGTAGTGGTAGTTCTTGACCAGGACGACATCGTTGCGATTGCCCACGAAGGCCTCCCTAATGGGGCTCAAGTCCGGATTGAAGCAGTTGAGGGCGACAATGTCGGTGGGCAGGCGTGGTATCAGTTCGTAGGCACAGGCCAGTTTCTCGTTCCATACGCTCACTTGGCCGTAGGGTAGGGGATCCCTTTTTGCGGCCAACTCGCCGGCCTCCTTGGCGGTACGGAAGGTATGGAGCGTTACAACTCCAGTGGCTCCGGTTCCCAGATAGCTGTGCACACAGTCGTAGACCAACAGTGGAGATTCGTCAGCCTTGAGGCCTTCGCCACGCACCACCTTTGCCTTGAGTTGCTCGATCTTGGCCAGCGTGCTGATATAGCTCGGATTCTTTGCCACCTGCTCCGGCAGCGAGCGAAGATCCTTGGCCACCAGACCCACAAACTGATCGGCTATGCTCTCCTGGAGCACCAAAGTGGCCACGGATCCCTCCGCAAATGGATTCTGCAGAGATTCGAGCAATTGCTGGCGAGCGGAGTGCAGATCACCGTCCTCGAAAACGATCATCAATTGGGGGGAACGCCATTTAGGATCACTGGGAATCGTATCGATCTGACGGTGGAAAAAATAGTATTGGTATCAAATATTTTTTGGGTAAACAAACCTACATCAAGATATCAGATCTAATTATCGACCAATTTATTTATTATTATTAATAAATATTTTTTTAACAGTTGCCTAACAATAAAAAATAAAAGTAATTAATAGCAATTCATTTTGAAGCAACGTTCACTTAGCAGATTTAAAATGTTTTTTTTTAAATTAACTGTCTGGTTCAGTGTACGACATATTTTTCTCAAGAACGAGGAAGATCCACAAGAACATAATATGTTCCTTCAATTACATAGCCTAGGTACTTAATTTCGTTGGCATATTTACTCAGGTACAAAATAGGGTGTACCTTTCACAACACTGATATCGACGCGCCTGATGTTTGTTCAAGAATATACTATGTATATTTACTTTATTAGGGTCGGAGTTGTATCATTCTCTCCCAAACTTTAAGTATTATAAAGTTATAGCAATGGATATCGATTTGAACACGAATTTCGCTCCGTGTGCGATTGTGATCAAGGTTATGTCTGAAATTCATGGTCAGGAACGGGAACTGACCTTCGAGTCCGCCTCCTTCGATGGCGACTGCAGGGCGTTGACCATGTCGCTGGTGATCCTGGTGACCTGGCTATTGGACTGCTGTGTGGAATTAGAATTGCTGGCCATGCTCTGCTCCCGGTTTCCTCCGATCGAAATGTTAAAAACGAACACCAAAGATCGCCCGATCAGCTGCGTTATCAGCGGCTCACACACACACACACGCAATGCAAAGAGCTGATAACTTAAAATACCAGAATTTGGTATTCTTTGGTATATATTATATACCCCAATTTTGGCTCGTTTCGCAACACTGTTTTCTGTTTGGCTTGACAAGATCCAAGCATTAATAGTACGATTTTTAAATTTTAGGTTTATTTAAATTAGGTAAGAAAAAAAAAAAATTACGTGAAAACTTAATGGTTCTTCAGTTGGAATTTTGCAATTTAATAGAACATGGAGAATTGAATTTGAAAAATTGTTAAATTGAATTATTTAAATAAGCCAAACGCATTTATATTTAAATGAAATAAAAACGTTGTGCATAAAATAAGTAGGCTTTAGAATAAATGTATAATGAATTACAAGGATTATTTTAAGTCAAAATAAAAGACATTTCGGCAGCAAAGCAAAAGGAGATTTTCCGTCAGTCGCGGGAATGTGACCAGTTGTCGAAAATTTTCGGTATTTTGGGTAAAAAAGACCTGCGCCACACCAAATCTTCTCTGGTTTTTTTTTGCTCTCCTCTCGCGAAACAATAAGCGAATCAACTAAGAACCATCGATATTACGGATTTAAGTGTCATCTGTCATGGTTTGACGCAGCAGCTACAAACTGTTAAGTGTTCTTTTTAGTATACATATATAAAGACAACAAGAACAGAAACATACACACGCACTCGTCAAATTGCAACAAGGGAAACAGAGGATGAGTAGCCAGGGACACCACAAAATGCAGGGATGCAGTGGACTATCCGGCGGAATGCAGAGCTCCACATCCAATGCCTCCGGCAAGAACAACAATGGCGGTGCCCAGGAGCAGGAGTTCACCGACGAGATCGACCTGGGCGACCGCTTCTCGGCGGACATGGCCCGCCTGTGCATGAACGAGCGGTACTCGGACGTGGAGTTTGTCGTCGAGGAGCAGCGCCTGCCCGCCCACCGCGTTGTTTTGGCCGCCCGCAGCGAGTATTTCCGTGCCCTGCTCTACGGCGGAATGGCGGAGACAACACAGCGTCAAATACCGCTGGAGGTGCCCCTGGATCCCTTTAAAGTCCTGCTGCGATACATTTACTCGGGCACTCTTCTACTGTCCACCTTGGACGAGGATGCCGTCATCGATGTCCTCGGCATGGCCAATCAGTATGGCTTTCAGGATCTGGAAATGGCCATCTCGAACTATCTGCGCCAGTACCTGGCCCTCAACAATGTGTGCATGATCCTGGACGCCGCACGACTCTACAACCTGGAGGAGCTCACCCAGGTGTGCCTGATGTTCATGGATCGCAATGCGGCCGACTTGCTGCAGCATGACTCGTTCAAGACCCTGTCTAAGGTAAATGATTCTCACATATAAACAGCCAGGAATAAACAAGACTTATCCGTGTAGGAATCACTGGAGGAGGTGCTGCGACGCGACTGCTTCTTTGCCCCCGAGGTGCAGATCTTTCTGGCCGTTTGGAAATGGAGCCGCTACAATCCCAATGTGGACATCAAGTCGGTGGTTAGCTTTGTGCGCCTCCCGCTCATGAACCTGGAGCACCTGCTGCAGGTTGTCCGTCCGTCGGGCATCCTGGAGCCCGACAAGATACTCGATGCCATCGACGAGCGGAGCACCTCGAAAACGCTGCCCTACAGGGCGGCCCTCTGGCCGGAGGAGAATGTGGCCACCGCCAAGTTCCTGTCGCGCTGCATCCAAGGCGAGTGCCGCACCGCCCTGCTGGACGGCGATGTGACCACCTACGACATGGAGCACGGCTATACGCGCCACTGCATCACGGACAGCAACGATGCGGGCATTGTGGTCGAACTGGGCACGCTCTGCATGATCAATCACATACGTATGCTGCTCTGGGACAGCGACAGTCGGGCGTACTCCTACTTCGTTGAGGTGTCCGGCGACCAGCAGCATTGGGAGCGCGTGGTGGACTACAGCGATTACCACTGCCGCTCCTGGCAGTACCTGTACTTCGCAGCGCGTCCCGTGAGATTCATCCGCCTGGTGGGCACCCAGAACACAGTCAACCGGGTAAGTCTTTGTAATCGCAGGGACACAAACGTTTAATTCTCTGAGAAAATTTAAAAATTACCTAGTTCAAGTTTGATTTAAATTTTTAAAGGTTTTCGGATATAAGTTTATAAATTTATTACATATTAAACATACATACATATGTGTGCAGAGGTCATTTTGTAGCAATTCTTTAAGTCCTTAAAAGAGGAAATAAATAACAGCTTGTTAAAATTTTTAAAATTAATTAAATTTAAAGCCCTTGTTTGTAAAAACTTGAACATTAAAGTTTTGTTTTGTTCATACACTCAAAATGTGCTTAAAAATTAATGCAGGTTGTTAAGAAATTTTGTGCATTCATTCCCTTCATGTTCATTATATTAATCGCGCAATTCGATCTATGACTTGCTCATATTTGTCTACCAAATTGTGGTCTGTAAATTATTTAAAACTTCTTTAAATCGAACCATCATATGCAAAGTAAAAAGTTCAGATTATGGAGACTTTAAATTATATTATTGATTTTAGCTGAATAATTAGACTTGTTGACTTTTCAAATTCTATAAATTCGAAATTTAGAGTCAAAACTGTGCCTTTGCTGCGTTGATTAAAATTATAATAGGATGCTTAGTAAAGCCCGTATTATATAACACTTTTAATTGTTCTAATGATTAGGTATTTCATGTGGTGGGACTGGAGGCTATGCACACGGCCAAGGTGCCGCGACTGATCGACCATTTCGTGGCGCCCAAGGCCAATGTGGCCACCATCGAGATGAGCGCCATTGTGACCGACGGAGTGAGTCGCACCCGCAATGCGCTGATCAATGGCGATTATGTGCGATACGACTGGGACTCGGGCTACACGTGCCATCAGTTGGGCAGCGGCGAGATCGTGGTGCGTCTGGGCCAGCCCTATCACGTCGGCTCCATGCGTCTGTTGTTGTGGGACTGCGATGACCGCACTTACAGCTTCTACATCGAGACCTCGACGAATCGCAAGGACTGGCAGATGGTGGTGGATCGGCGCAACGACAAGGCCCGCTCCTGGCAGAACTTTCACTTCACTCCACGTCCCGTGGTTTTCATCCGCATCGTTGGCACCCGCAACACGGCGAATGAGGTGCATAAGATCGTTTTGCTTTGTGAGATTTCGTAAGTTTATAATTTGCCTTGCTTCCTTGCTTTTTTAGATCTTCCATTGCGTCCACCTGGAGTGTCCCACCCAGGACAAGTGCTACCTGAAGAAGATTGCCGATATGGAGAGGGAGCGTGAGAAGGATAAGGTGAAGGAGCGCGAAACGGAGAAGAAGGTCGTGAAGCCTGAAGAAGATGACAATACTGCCTCTACCTCGGTAGCTTCAATTGCTGCCCCCGGTGAAAGTCCCTCCACATCTTCGCCCAGCAGCAGCAGCCAAAGCGTCTTAAAGTCCAACCACTGGCCGCCAACGACACAGTCTCCCAAACCGGAGCAAACCAAGGAAAAGGCTTCGCCAGTCGTGCCTCAGCTGCCCACTCCTCTGACGCCCGCTGTATCGCCACCACTCAAACGGGAGCAAAATGAGCCGAGGAAGAGTCCCAGCGCAAGCTCCAACACACCAAACATCAGTCCAAGTCCAAGTCCCAGCAGCAACCCGAGTCCAAGCCAAAGCAGGAGCAGAAGCCAGAGTGCGGAGCCTGAGCCTGAGCGTGAACCAGTGCCGCCATTGGTGGAGCTGGACACCAAGGAGGAGCACTAAGAGCACTGCTGCTGCCGGAGATGTTGATGATATTTTGTACTTGATCCCCTTGAAATACTCCCGTGGTCAAACTGTTAACCCCGGCAGAGATTTTGCACTCCGTGCTGCTCTTGTTATCTAGTCCTTCCCAGTGCCCCCGTTTGTGGGCTCCCAAAAACATTCGTTTATACGTTAATATATATATATTTATATACAAATGTATATATATAGTTTTGATTGATTGTGATCCAGAGAGAATTCCTTTTGTTTGCAAGGCAGCAGAGTTATTTATATAAGCAATAGCACTTAATTCTATGCACACACCTATCGCGAATCCGAACGAGAGATTTCTGAGCAGCTGAACCAAAATTGTATACGAGGCATCTGTCCAGAGTTGTGGCCTGTCCATTGTCCTTAACCAAAATTATCCAGTTGATCCGCAACTCATAGTCTAGGCTCTTTGAGCGGCCCAAAAAGTAAGCTCTATTTATTAGGCAAATTTTGTCATAGTTTGTACTGCACCCAAATAAAAGCTAACCAAAAAAAGTTGACAATCATCTAGAGTTTTGTTTTACTTTCATGGCAAAAAGGAAATACGAGAGAAATCTGTAAAACACGCCCAATTAGTTTTACACTTAATTTTTGGAGAAAAATAATAGATTAAAATTAAAATTATTTTTTTATTTTTAGCCTTTTGATTTCACATTGCAAAAATTAAGCTGAAATTAAATTACTTTTATTTTTGACATAGTTTAATTGCAACTTTGTCTTAAAGATTTCGTAAAAATTACTTATACGTCACGTAAAAATAAAAAAAAATTTTAAATGGTCATAAGGGTTAAAAACTTGGAATATCGTAAAAGGCATTTTTTTCTATAATTGATTTCTGATATATCATAAAAAAATAAAAGCGCATATAAGGGAATTTTGCATACAAATTTGGAACTCCTTAATAAACATATCTAAAGTATTTTAATTTTAAAAAGAAAAAAATATATGCTTTGACAGTTTTGTATAAAAGCCTTGAGCTTTGGACAGGGTCAGTATTAAAGTTAACAAAATCTCTTCGAAAACGAACACTGATCCAATGATCTTTCAGTAATTGACCCACTGTACACCGCACTTGCCACCCACTGATGCCACAACATCCACAATACGCTCCACAGTTAGGAAATTGCAATCAGACGCGACCCACGGCCGCTGCAGCGCGGCAGCCATAAAAGTCGAATCAGAACGCTAAACCAAAACCAGTTGCGAATGTCGAACAGTGGGCGTCCAGAAAGACAGAGAGGGGCGAAACGGAAAGAGATGGCAATCGAATATTGAAAAATGCAATGAACACTGGACCAGATTATTGTTTTAAAAATGTTGTGTTTTTACATAGCCCAAAAACAAAAAAATTCAATTTAGGAAAATATTAAAATATTGCCCATACGTCATGTTGTTTATATGAGCGTTAATGACGACATGAAGTTTTAGATGTGAATAAAGTGTTTCTATTTCTAAGCACTTTCTATTAACTATTTCAAAGCGCACGTAACAATTATAATAACAACAACATTATTTGCGTGGTTGGTAAACAAAGTTTAAATCTGAGTAATTTTATTAAAATCCATTTTTTTCTTCCAAAAAAAATCATTAATAAATGCAATCCTGACATGCAATTTTTAATTAATTTACTATTAAATTCACTAAAAATGATCATTAATTAAAACAATTTAGAACATAAAAATTGATACAAAAAATAATATTGCTTAAAGGGAGTTCTCCTTTCTGGGTTAAACAAAAAATTATGCACTAAGTCTTATAAAATTAGTAAAAAATAATGATTTTCATTAAAGAAAATAGGAGACCAAATGAAACTTTATCATTTCCAAGTAATTTTTATTATAAAACTTATAATTATTACGGTTCCTGATAAATATTAAATATTTGAACTTTGCCCAAAAAAATACGGCAATGTGGCCCATTGTGCAGTGTTTAAGAATCGGCGGCGGTGGCGCAGGCGCAGCAAACTAGTTTGCCTGCGAGGGGGTGGGGATGGGAGGTGGGCGGTGGGCTGTGAGCTGTGGTTTGGCGCAGGGGCGTCGTCAAAGGGCGCGCGCAACTAACTAACTAGCTAACCAAGTGGGAGAGCGAGCGGGAGCGCGCGTGAGTGAGTGAGCGGCGCTCACTTAAGTGAACCGTTAGCCTGCAGCAGCGGCGCAGCCAGCGGTTCGCAGTTTAGTCGACAAGCGACCGCCGTGGACAAAACAACGCCAGCAATCCGCAACGCATCGCACGGATAGCTATTATTGCCTTACTTCAGCAGATATTCACATCCACACACACTTTATATTTGAAATTCAGAAGCGCGTTGAGATATAAATATATAGATATAGATATAGCCGCCGATCGACCAGTGGTTATTTTTTGTCTTATTTTATTGTGACAATCGCGAGAAAAGTGTTTAAAAATAGTTGCCCAGAGCTCAACTCCCCCGCCAATAACTAAACAACAACAAGAACACCAAAAAGCAGCAACAATATGGTCGAGACCGTGGTCAATATCGAGCGCACAACAACAACAACGACGAATGGCCCACCCGGTGGGGCAAATCCGACCGCCGATGGCGGTTTCGGGAGCGCCATTCGCCTCAACATCGACTATTTCCGCACCATCCCGGGCATTATCAAAATTGTCCAGTTTGTGAGTACACACTATAAATTGAAAGAAATTCTGAACTTGAAATTTTGATCTTAACAGAGAATTAATCTCTATTTAACATTATTCACTTTCAAAAAAAAAAGTTTTTAATATCCGACGATATTAAACACGATCCACATTTCTATTTTGCAACACTGAAATCGTAGGAAAAAAATCAACTCAACCACCAAATTTAAATGTGGGCATTGGAACATATTCAAGTTTCCAAAAGTTTCGAGACTACATATTTTTCAAATTTTAAAGAGATGATAGTGCTATCTTAAATCTTATTAATGGGTTGAACTATGACACAAAAAGTTGCAAAATTTATGTTAGTTGATAAACAACACATACCCCAAAAATGTATTTTGAGTGTTTGTGACCTACATAATGTTTCAATGTCTAATGGTAAAAAAATGTAGCCGGCTAAACATATCAACACATGCCGGAAGAACTATATTCGGTTGTAATCTTATAGCATTAATTTTTAAAGCAATTTATAAACTACATACCCCAAATAACTATTCATTATTTCGTTTGTAATCGTAGTTTTCTAAAATGAAGCAACAACTATCAAATACTTTAGAAGAGAAGCGGTTCAGAAAACGGTCACAAACTGTTATCGTTATAAATTGAACACTTTTATCTATATGTTGCGTTTGCCCACCATTCTATACCGGGATATCTTGGGGCTTAAGAAAGCCCAGTGTATTCAGTGCTAGAAATATATCAATAAGTGTGTATATGGCACATATAGGTATGTCAGGATCTCATTAAACTTAGGGCGGATAAGATAGGGGCAGACAGCTTGTGGGAACTGCAAACATGTGAGTCCAATGCCATGTGGTCAATTGGGCCCCTCTTTAAGACCTCTGCACAAATTCTGGTTGGGGCAATAGTTGAGGAGAAGTTAACAGACGAAATACTCCATTTGGCCTGGTATTTGGAGCTTTGATTTTTCCCACAATGGGCACAAATGAAGTCGTGTGGGCACTGCATTTACGCCAACACATAATACTCGCACTCGAACTCACAAGTGTGGGTACACCGAAAAAAAACCATTAAAAAACATTCTTCATAAGATAAATTTTAGAGTATGAAAAATAAACTTTTGATATTAAAATTAAATCTAAAAAACAAAAAAAAAATGAGGAAACTTATATGGTTTGAAAAGAAAAAAAACAAGAAACTTTTCAAAGTAGCAAAACTAATCTTTCGAAAACACCTCGGATTAAAATATTAAAAAAAAAAAACTAAGAATGTAATTAAGTATTGAAATTATACCCTCAACAAGTCTTTAGTTTTTATTTAAGACAACTCTTACTTAATTTAATCTATGAGTTTTCAAATTATGTGTACTGCGTGGTATGGTAGGTGAAAGCTCAGTTTTGAGCATCCCAAAATCCTATATAACATACCTTACCATATCCACCATATTTAGCATTCTGTTTAGGGGCAAGGTCGCAGGATTCAGGCGCCGACAACTGCTGGGGCGCACACATGAAAAATGCATTATTAACTGTCCGTCGGTTGTCATAAAAAATCAATAGTGAATATAATTGAGGCGAGGAATATGGTAAGGGGGCGAAATTACTGATATGATTACCATCGCAATAAACTGTCGGGTTATTAAGTGCTATTTATTGATTTTCTGCTCCGACAAGCTCCGATTATATTCCTTGATATTCCTGCAGTTCCTCGAAGGGTTTTGTTTTTACTCACACTGATTTGGCTAAAACGAAACTAATCACTTATCTCTTTGTAAATGCATTGATGTCACAAATGGCCGTTTATTTTTTTGGTTTCTGTTTTCCTTTGTGTCTGTCAAATGGGATTTTTGTGGCCACTAATCTTATCGGTCGCCTTTTGGCGATAGCCTGCTGATAGTCTCAGTGCAATATAAATATGTAAAGGTGCTTCACTTAACGTAGCCACAAAAAAACACAGGGCCATATATGCACCTGCATGGTTCCCAACTGAAATCGAGAGGTCTTAACCCTCTAAATAAATAATTTGATAATTGGATTGATTTCTAAATTCGATCAATTGAAGCTTATTAAATGGTTAAGTAATTTAAAAGCCTATGAACTTGAAATATGCCTATTATTAGTATTTAATAATACATAGAAATATTTTCTTTTCCCACAAACATCCTGTAACTTGAATTATTGGTTATAGTTTAAACACAACAAATTATGTTACACAATTATATTGACTAAATTTCGTTTTTTAATAAAATAATTATTAAATCATATTACTGTAAAATGTGTTAGTATTTTGATAACATTAAAATTATATATCTTAAGACTTGTAAAAAATAACTATACTCGAAAAAAAATAGAACTAATATTCAAGCTTTTAATTTTTTTTTAATTTTTCAAAACAAATTCGAAGTACTGAATGTGCTACTTACTATATGATTTAGATTTTGGTTTACCATAGGTTAACCGAACGTGACTCATTTTTTCCGAATTTTGCGGATAGATGGAAAACTGGCTAATCGGCTGTTACTCATACGCCCCGTTATCCGTGTGAAGTGGGCGATAATGAGGCGACCACCTGTGCGAGTGTATAGGAAAGTTGAGGGAAATTCGGGGGTGACGAGGCAGATTCGGTAGCCATGGTTTGCGATAAGGCAATTGATGCCTGACACCTGACTGCTAGTTTGCCCCTGGGCCATTACTCATCCGCCGCTTAGTCCAGTATTGTTAAAAAACCCCCTGAAAATATTATACTTTCTCAGGACTTGCAATCCAATTCGGCCTATCTTATCGTACTGCCCCGGGCAATAAGCATTTTGGACCCAACTTATGTATAAAGTAGACCGGGCATATATACGTTTTTGAATTCCATGGCCAAGTTTGCTCTATATACACATAAACATACACAAAGTATATGCAAATCGGAACAAGCACGATTTATTATTAAGTTTTGTTGGTCTTGGTCCCTGCCTTTGAGAATTTTTTATAATAGCAATTACGTAAGATATTTTGGAAGCTGCCAAAGCTGCGCATACCCAACAACATTGTTTGGCATTATTGTCGTGGATTTTAATTTTAATGTTCTCGCCAAAAGCGGAAATTATGACACACATTCGGTGTCGTTCAAGAAATTTTGTACCAGAAAGTAAAGTCGCCTTAGACAGTTGCTGCTGTTTGTTGGCGGATTGGAGAATGCGATCGATCGTTACGGCATCCATTCGTTTATGGGCACGAACAGTGCGTTCCATATACGTAAGCCGATTGGTCTTTGGCTGATAGCAAAGGTCTGAAAGAAGTAGGAGTATATTATCATTTAATATACGCTCAAGCTACCATACTATCGGAAAAATAGATTTCAAATTTGTATTTATCTATGTATTTAGGGCACTTGCCTAGGGTAAACCTTTTAAGTATTTATTAAAAAACTCAAAGATATTAGTTGGCTTTTAAAGTGTGCTATATAAAGTGATTTCCAAATTTATTTACCTTACAAACTTTTACTCTTTAGCTTGAATTTGTATCTCCTTTATTTTAAGTACTTAGTTACCAAACTACATTTTTAATGGTTTTACAGCATTGAAACGCACTGTACTAAGTGCACAATGCTATGCAAATACATGTTTGTATATTGTGTATTTGTGTACATTTTAGGTAATTGACGCTGACTAAGTGCAGTGCGCTGAGAAAAGTGAGCTCATCTTTAAGCTACGTCTTGGCCCGGTTAACAGGTTGCTAACGAGCAAGTTGCACGGAAAGGGACCGCTATATATAGAGCTCTATATACACTATATATAATATACGATTTTGCAAAGCATATCATGTGTTTATTTACCATTTGGCCACTGAACTGCGTTTATCTACATTGAGCAATCATAGCTATCTGTGTTGTTTAACCCATTGCACAGAACAAATATTTATATCGATGACATTTTTTAAATTTTTTAATTAAACCTGCTATAACACAAGAAGGTGCGTTGACCCCATCGTGAACCCTCTATAAGATAACCAGAGTTTAGCTATTTCTAAGCAAGTTAGCTTAAGCTTACGTCGGGTATACAAAAGATTAAAACTATAAAAGTATGCAAAAAAAAAAAAAAATGTAAGAATAAAAATGTTGCTTTTAAACATTTATCGGATAATATAAGACTTGTTTTTTTTAATTGTTTTAATTATTAGGTCCAAATTGATCTTGTGTGTCTGGCCTCTGAAACTTCTATGGCTTCAATTGAACTTCACAGATAGCAGAAAATGCTACAGTGAAAAAAAAATCATAGTAATGAATGTTCGAAATTACATTAAAACTATAATTAAAATGGTGTCACTTTCGAAATTTCACTACAAAGTAAAGGCTTTATATTGTTTGGTATTGAATTTGTAGGGACCCAGACCGTATAAACGGAGGCCAAGATCTAGATCCAATTTCAGTGGCGTTTCGCGTCATTGATTGCACAGAAAAAGTACATACATAATTATGCTGGAACCGTGATCGATGTACTTTGATGCACCCTTTCATGCTCCACAAGGCAAATTGCTCGTTACTAGTTGTATTACACATATATGTATATGTGGCCAAAGTGTATAATAAACCACAGTTCGTATTCTTTTCTTTGCCGTTTGTCTTGGCTGTTGGAGCGTTACGAAATACATAAAAACTATGTATTTAAGACTATGTGACCAACAGACCTCACGAGTAAAACACATATCTACGCCCATGTATATGCAAATCTTGCCGTTAAATATATACACACACAAGCACACACAAAAAAAAAGCATCCATAAATTATGTTTAGAAAAGATAAAATTCGTATAATTCCGAGACCGATTTCTTTCTCTTATTTTTGAGAAGTGACGCAAAATGGGGCAGTGCGAACCCAAAAAAAAAAAAAAACAAGAAGAACACCATTTGAAAAGTGTTCACTGCTGTCGCTGGGAATGCAATCCAAGATCAACATATCGCTGACGGTTCAATCAACCTTTGATTTTTTGCTGCTGTTAGTTAATTGTTTGGCAGTTATATGGCAAAAAAACAAAAGCCAAAAAAACAAAGGAGACAGCACAAGCAAAAGCAAAAGCAACAGAAACAGAAACAACATGTCGCTTTTGGCCCGACTACCAACTTTCAGCTTTCACTTTTCGTGTACCTTTTGTTTTAGCCAAAACCAAATGCTCAAGTCGACTGCGCACCTGCTTGTTTTCATTTGTGTTTTTTCTGTTTTTTTTTTGTTTTCATATATTTTTTTTGTCGCCAAAAGCTTATTGCCTTTTAATTGTACAAACAACCACGTCATCGGAGCTTCAGTTGCAGTAGAATGTGTGTCATCACGACCTGTCATCTAGTGTTTAGTTCCAAAGGTACTTAACCGACCAAATCACCATGTGAATTTGCTTGAATTTCGATAAGGTTCTCAACAAATGACTTAAAGATAGTTATCTATAAATATTGTTTGAATATATTGAGTCATCGAAGCACATCGCTCAGTTCTAACAAATCTTGGACTTAAATTCATAGGAAATAATATAAGGAACGCTAAAGATATTTTTTATCAAATAGTTCACTCTCAAATAAAAAATCGTTAAAATAAACTAAAAAGATTAATTATTATGAAAATTGTTTGTACATTTGCTTGTTAGAGAATAATAATATTTGACTATTTAATTATGAAAAGTAAAGCGAATTGTTGTATAGTCACAGCTTCTTCGATCTTCATAAGAACTAAAATAATGTTTGTATTTATGTATATGTGCAAAATCAATTTTGAATACACAGCCATTTCGTTCATAGCGTGGATTCAATTAAAGCTGACATCACGATTCGCCCAGTCCAGATTCAAAATGTGGCCTTGAAAAGGCGCCCGTCAATTGGAGATCACGAACTGAGCGAGCATTGAGAAAAAATAATATTTTCATGTTTTAACCATTTTTGTCAAACAAAAAAGGGATGTTATATTTTTCCTCGGAGAGTTATTGTTTAGATTGGAAACTTTGGAAAACTTTTGTATTTGAAAACATTTGATTTTGTTACTTGTTACTCATGAATGTTTCCTCTTATCCTTTTTATATTCACAGGTACTGGGCATTATCTGCATGGCCCTGGCCTCCCCGCCCTTAACCTCGGCCACCTCGTTTTTCATGTTTGTGATCGTCATCTCGTTCATAATCACCATTCTTCTGATCGCGGCCTATTTCTTGGGCATTCGCGAGGCCCTTAACGTGACCATCAATTGGATATTCTCGGTGAGTGGGACTTAAACATATATATAGGATATACACTCAGGCAAAATTGCTTAACATTAGGAAAAATTCTTTGATTTCTAACGTAGTCTTAACGATGAGCTCTCCATATAAGCAATAATATAAACTAAATGGGGCAAATATTAAATTCCACATTTATCATGGGTATAATATTGAAATATATTTAAAAAAAAAATATACAAAAAAAATTTTAATTAATATTTAATTGAAAAAAATAGATCTGATATCAAAAACATTTTATTGCAACAGTGCGGATGAAAGAGGATTTACGGCAATTGCCTTAAATTGTTACAAAATAGTTAACTACAATATACGGAAAAGTTAATGTTAAAGGAATTATGTAGTTTTTATTTTTCTTGAAAAACTAAAACAGTATCAAAGGGTTTTAAACCTCATTTTGTCCTTAGAAACATTACATTTTTGAATACAATTATTTTGAACGCCGCTGTATATGGTAGGCTCATAAAGTAAATTAATTGTTCCTATTTAGGAGTCTAAATCTAAATCTATTTTTCCTAAATCTAAGAAAGGGTAGTACATTCCATACAAGTATTTTTATAATAGCCATCCATCTTAATCCCAAACAGGAGCTGCTCACCACCGCCGTGCTGACGCTGCTGTACTTCATCGGGTTCATTGTCCAGCTGGCCAGATGGTCGGATGTCTCGGGCTTTGGGGCCGCATCCAACACGGCCGCCGGAGTCTTCGGCCTTTTCAACTTCCTGGCCTACGCGGCGGGCACATACTTCCTGTTCCTCGCCCACAGGTCCGGGGCCACCCACTAAGTCCTGCACACTCAAGGCTGGAGCTTAGCGTAGAATTATTTCTAATTGTTTACAGAATAAGTGCAGTTGTTCGCTTACTTGTACAGTTTCGCCTCTTATTTTTTTTTGTCAACGTATTCGTGTTTTTGTTGTTAATTTATGCGAGAGGACACATGCAAATCGATATGGCTTGATGTGTTTTTAATGTTATTATAATGCCTAACTAACATTTAAGTTAAAATCCACCCGCACACAAACACATCTACGAGAAAGACTAGGGTGGGCCCTCCAAAGAAATTGAAATTAGTACATAGAAGTCGAAGAAATTATTAGTTTTTACATCTTACATTTTGAAGATTAATAAAAAATGCTTTTTTAACTACCAAATATTTTTTTTTAATCTAAGAAAACCTAGCATAGTCCAACGAAAATTATTTCGGAAATATTGTTTACAGTCTTTAAAATTGAAAATATTTAAATCGAGATGTCGATGAAATAATAATTTTATATTTCTTAATTTTTAAAGATTAATAGGATGAAAAAGTACTTTTTTTAGCTAAGACAGTCCCACGAAAACTATTTCGAAAAACATTTTTTTTAATATCTTTGTTTTAACTTGGCAATTATTTGCGTATGACTTTTAAGACAATTGAAGAAATCACAGTTTAAATCAATTATCAAAAGTGCTAGCATTCTAGAATGATACAAATTTATATCCAATACTTGGAGAATGTTTGTTTAAAGCGGCCCACCCTAGACAGTACACACATGCACAAAAAAAAAATAAATAAAAAAAAAAAAACAACAGAAAAACGCGAAAAAAAAGAGCGCAACAAATATTTAAGATCAATAAATTATTTGTATTTTCTCAACCAATGCCAATACAAAATGAGAGGAGGGTCCTACCACCTGCCATCAAATCATTTTAATTTATTGGCGGCCCCAATCCCTCGCTGCAAAGGGGGAAGGGCATTCTGCCGGCGGGGCTTTCCCGCTGGTGCGGCTCATCATGATGCAGAAGGTCGTCATAAAGGCTGCTAAAGGTACTTCTTCATCTCGTCGTAGATGGCGAGCACTAGGGCACCGCCAGTGCCGCGGATGATGTTCGATAGGGCGCCCTTGAAGAAGGCGCCGATGCCCTCCTGCTTGGCAATCACCACCCAGCAGTGTGCCGTGTTCTTGTAGATCATCTCGGACTTCTTCAGTCCCGACTGCATCATCATGCGCCGGCGCACGGTGTCGAAGGGATAGGACGCAATGCCGGCCACGGTGGTCACCACCTGGGCAATGGCCCAGCTCACGTAGAACGGTGTGCTCTTGGGGTTCGGCAAGAAGTCGCGGCACGTGTCGTAGAAGCCGAAGTAGGCGGCCCGGTAGATGACGATGCCCTGCACCGAGACAATGAAGCCGCGGTACAGGCCAATGGGGCCGTCACTCTTCATCACCTTCATCAGACAGTCGATCAGGCCGTTGAACTCCCGATTGCCACCCTTGCCCACGTCGGCGGCCAAGCTGTCGGCAAAAATATAAATAATTATTAAATTAATTTTGAGGGTTAATAATTTAATATATGCCTCAAAATAACTGATATCTAGCGACTTCTCTGTAACTCACCGGGTTCGAGCGAAATCCAAAGGATATACAAAGCATAAAGATGTGGCACCTGCTGCACCGCCAGAGGCCAAATTACCAGCAAAGTGGCGCCAAAACTGCTTGTGCTTGTCCACGCCACCAAGGAAGACCTAAAGGGAAGGATATTTACACAAATATATATATATATATTGATTCAAGAGCGATAGAGTCGCTGTAAAACTAACCGATTTGTACACATCCTTGAAGGCGAAGTTGAGGGCCTGTGTGGGGAAGTACCGGATCACGTTGGCCAAGTTGCCCCGCCAGAACGACGCGAATCCCTGCTCCTTGGGAATGCGAATGAAGCAGTCGACTATGCCCTTGTAGCGCTTGTCGGCTGCTATCTGCTTGGACACCTCCTGCACCTGCAGGATCAGCTTCACCCGCTCGATGGGCGCCACCGCAGTCTTGGCGATCGCCGCCGAAACGCCGCCCATCATGAAGTCCGTGAGGAAGCCCTTGAGGTCCTTGCTGTGACCGCCGCCGCCGCCTTCGTCGCCCATATTGTTGGATTCACGGTTTGCTTTTACGTAAAACGATTTGGTTCAATATCAAAGTTGGAGGCTATAAAAGGAGTAAAATGTCTTATACGTTTTTTTCACAATTTATAATTTTGACTGAGCCACGAACGACAAGATCTGAACTGGCATAGGTCGACGAAGTTCTGAGCCGGATCAAATCGAAAACATAAGAAAGCATTGGCGCGGCCAACGTGGAGTTTAAATTTTTCAAATTTGAATTTTTATTGGAAACACCAAGAACACCAGACTCTTGATAAAGAAACTTCGTCATACTGTCTAAAAAAAAAAAAAAAACGGGGGAGAAATATGCACTCGCTGATAAAAAATTTTGTAAGACTATAGTTTGGCTTTACTTTTGAAAACTTCAAAAACTAATGAATTCAATACGTTAATTTTCCCTTGTGAAAAAAAAAAAACTCATTTTCTTAATAAGTTATTTCTAAGCGATTCTGTTAACGAATATAAATGATTTAAGTTATTGTAAAAAATTGAATTCGACCCTCCAGACGAAATATAATATCTTCAGATTGGCTTTCTTGATTGTACCTTTCTCTAAAATTATTTGAAAATGTTCTTTATTCTGGTCAGGTGTTAAGCATTCGAAATCTTAATCTACTTTGTCGCATCGTCGATGTAGGACCATTTCATTAGTAGCATTATTATACATAGGTGAGCTTTTAGGCTCTCGTCCCAATCACTCTGTAAGGAAACTAAACGATTTTGAACGACGGAATGTTGCATTTGATTGCACAAGACCAAAACCACAATGTAAGTATGCTATTATTTCTTAAATTTAAATAAATTTCACAATGTGACCGAGTTGTAAAACGAAGGGGAACACATTGCACAATACTCGCAGGCAAATAGTAGGATCCCTTGAACCAAAGCGCAGAAAGAAAAAACACACAACATTGTACTATTTTTATCAATTTTTATATATTTTTAAACCCACCGAAGTTGAGTTTGTTTGTTTGTCGTGTCGGAGGCTAAAGAATCTACAGGTCTTCGGTCGATTCCATGCCACTTATCGATTTAACACTGATTTGGCCGGGGAGATGTGGCGCGACCCAGCAGCATGATGGGATCTAGTAAATAGTCTAACCCAAACTTAACAATACTAATCAATATCGTCACAATGTTCGTTCGTCTTTCAGTGTAGTGGGTTGTATCGCAGGTGCTGGCTGAGTCGTCTCCTCGTCTCCTAGCATTGCTCTGTGGTAGTTGTTGTTCTATTGACTCTGGCCATCGTTCCATAAATTAGTTCCCCGTTATTATTATAACTAATATAATTTCATAATTATATCAGGGGACAGGGAGGAAGGAAGAGGGGGGGATCTTATTGCTTGCCGTTGTTCTTGGTAAGATTGTGTGTGTTGTTGGTTGCAGATCAAACTTTGCTGTTGCTGTTGCTTTAGCTGTTCTCTTTCAGTTATTTAACATAATTAGCTGGTAGTGTTTAGTTTTCTTGTTTGTTTTTGTTGTTGTATGTTGTTGTATTTTGCTGGTTTTGAATAATTTAATAATTTAATTTACAAGACCTTCTTGATCTCATCGTACAACACAAGCACGAAAGCGCCGCCAGTGCCTCTGAGAATGTTGGAGAAGGCTCCCTTGAAGAAGGCACCAGTGCCCTCCTGCTTGGCGATGGTGGCCCAGCAGTGCAGTGTGTTCTTGTAGATGACCTCGGTGGCCTTGCGACCCGACTGCATCATCATGCGACGACGCACGGTATCGAAGGGATAGGACACGATGCCAGCGACGGTTGTCACAACCTGGGCGATGGCCCAGCTGATGTAGATGGGTGTGTTCTTGGGGTCGGGCAGCATACCGCGGGCGGTATCGTAGAAGCCGAAGTAGGCGGCACGGTAGATGATGATGCCCTGCACGGACACACCGAAGCCGCGGTACAAGCCAACGATGCCGTCGCTCTTGAAGATCTTGGTCAAGCAGTTGCCCAGACCGGTGAATTCACGCTGGCCACCCTTGCCAGTATCAGCAGCCAAGCTGTTCGACAGGAGGAGATTGATTTTCGTTAATTTCCGCACAATTTGTCCGTTTCTCTTATGTTCCAACTTACCGAGTACGGGCAAAGTCCAAGGGGTAGACAAAGCACAGAGAGGTAGCACCAGCGGCACCACCGGAGGCCAAGTTGCCGGCGAAGTAGCGCCAGAACTGGGTGTTCTTGTCAACACCTCCCAGGAAGACCTACATATCGGTACAAGCGCGTTAGTTTTCGGCTCCAATTGCTATGCCAGCAACTCCCAGTTGAGCTCACCTGCTTGTACTTGTCCTTGAAGGCAAAGTTCAGAGCCTGGGTCGGGAAGTATCTGATGACGTTGGCCAAGTTACCGCGCCAGAACGACGAGAATCCCTGCTCCTTTGGAATGCGGATAAAGCAATCAACCATACCCTTGTACTGCTTGTCGGCACTGATTTGTTTCGAGATGTGCTGAACCTGCAGGAGCAGTTTCACACGCTCAATGGGGGCGACGGCGGTCTTGGAGACGGCTGCGGAGATGCCTCCGGCAGCGAAATCCTTGACGAATCCAACAGCATCAAAATCCTTGCCCATTTTGCTGTAAACACATCGCGCAATTGCCCAATACTCTCATTAGTCTTGCTCGGTCTCTTTCAGCCGTCGTTGGATGATTTGATTTATATGCTTTGATACCGACGATGGTACTTCTGTGATGGGTGTGGATGGATGATGATATCCCAATGGCATGCAGGTGGTGCTTGATATACGGATGGAGTGCAGGAGGAGCCGCTCCCCATGCGTTGCATAATGTTACGGTTTACGATTTACGATTTACGTTTACAGTATGTATGGTAGATGTACGATTCACTTTCTTTACACAGGTGCAGTAGGCACAATAGAAAAATAGCCCAAAGCCAAATGAAAATGTGAAAATTGTCAATGTTCTAAATAATATGTGGGGATGCGATACACAAACCGAAACCAAAAAACATGCACTTTTTTGGATTAACACAAATTGGGTAAAATGTGAGTATGGAGTAAATTATAAAGGTTTTAGCGTCAAATGAAAACTTATCGCGAAATTGTTAAACATGCAGTATAATGTGCTAGTACAAATGGAAATAAAAACTTAGGTCTAAAATTGATGATTTATTATGTTTGATGATTAATGGGGTCTCAGCACTTTGGTTACAACAAATAAACATAGTATTAGTATGGGTGTTAGCAGTCGCCGGCTAAACTGGTTTTGAGAGAAAAAAAAAATTGAACATTGGCCGGTTAAATTTGCCACGTGGTTTGAGTCCGAGCCAAATAAATGAATGTTGTAGAAAATTCGTACTTAGTTCTTAGCAGTTATAACAAAAGAGTTGAGTTGAGTTAACTTTTGCGGTCGGGAATAGCTAGGTACGTGGCATAAATTGCTTATCCAATTTATTTTATCTAGAATGGCATAAATCATGTGCAGTTCAAGTTGAATAAAACAACCTTTTACTGGTTTTCATTGAGTAATGTTTGAGATTGCATAATTGCCACACCACAGCAAAAAAAAAAAAAAAAAGAGTAGAATAGAACAGAAAAAGTTCAATGGAAAAGCCAGTATATGAGCATTGGCGTGGGTGTAAGCAAGATGGCTATAGAGGCCACACTTTTTTGGCAGCTGGCATTCGCCATTGAAGCGTGTTTCGTTAATTTTAGAATTTTTCAAGAGCAGACCCCACTCTTCAATAGCCGTGTGTGTTTCAATAAAATTCTGCGAAATTAAATTAGCATTCTATTGTCAAAGGTTTATGTAACAACACACTTGGCGAAAAGAGAGCTTTATTTCTCTTCGGTTTCGGATCTCTTTCAAAACAACCGTTATCTAATCGGGTTAAACTTTTGATTGACTGGAAGAGAGCAAAGCTTTTGGCCAAGAGAAAAAGACTCGTGATGTAATAGCCATAGCCCCAGCTGGAAAAATTCTACAGCTGCACGTGGAAAGCTTCCACCGAAGGCCGAGTAGTAGTATCCAATCCAGGGTTATGTTTATTCTTAATTCATTGTTATTGATTGCATAAGAACGAAAAGCAGCACCGCACACCACAAAAAAAAAACATTCAAGTTCAACTCTTATTGTTTTACATAACCAGGCAAATTCTTTTCATTACTCTGGTTTAAGTTTGATTTGGTTTGATTTAAAACAAAAAAGAAGCACTTTTGTTTGAATGGGATGATGAATGCAGATGCATTTGCAGTTGTAGTAACTTCAATTGATTTTCAATTTGTTGTCGCCATACGTACAATTTGTATGTGTTTTATATCACAGCACAAAACCGAAAAAAAATTATCCTTATTCCCCTGGAAGTCAGAAGTCTGCACCGGACGGCAAGTGAATTGCTTGTGAAAGTTCCGTTCACCGAAATCAGCCAGCTAGCCTGCGCTGCCTCTGCCTGCGTAGGCGTCGGCGTCGACGTCGTCGTCATCGTCAAGTTCAGCAACAGTTGAGCGAAGGCGAGAGAGAGAGCTCTCACCGAGTGCGCGAAATGCGGAGAGCTCCATCTAGCGGTTGGCAACAGCAACAGCACGTGTGGGAGCGAGAGAGACACAGGGGCGGGGGCTGGGGCAGAGAAAGAGCGAGAGATCGCCGCTTATCAGTTGCTAAGAATTCAATGCCGTTTTTGTTGCATAAGAGGAAGTGTTGTACGAATGAGTATAAACTCATTAGAAAAGAAAACACTTTTTGTTTCATTTTGCCATGCCCGAAAATGCATATATGGCCAATTGTTTTTCATTTGCCCCTTTCGAGGTTTTCAGCGGCGCTTTCGAAATGCTGCCAAAAAATAAAACACGCACAACATTTTACATTTGGCAAAGAGCCGAGTCAGCTGCGTAGCAGAGTTGCCAATCCAACTATTTAATAGCCAGAAATGGATTGACCAAATGCAGAAGATAATACTTTAAAATCCTAAATCATCTTTGGAAGAATTGATATAGAAAAAATGCGACAAAGAAGAAATGAAAAAACAAAATTGTGTTATGTTAAAAACACAACTTTTTGGTCCACTAGGCTGAAGGCATCTGAATAAGAAAACATTTTGAGTTGACACAAAAACACACAAATAGACAAAACAGGGCAATGATTACATTACTTAAAGATCAAAAGCTATTTCTTTTCAGATAAGTGCTTTGAATAAAATCGTTTAGATTATTTTCAAGCTACATATTTTTGATTGCAGCTATTTTAAGCTTTTTAGCTTCATTGTAAAAGATAGCGTAGGCAACACTGTTAGCATGTGACTTTGCTTTCTGACGTCCGTCTGCCGCTCTCTCGCTCTCTTCACTCGCCTGTCCCCATCTCTTTCGCGCACGCGGAAGAAGGGCGGCAGCTCAAAAAAAAAGTGCGTGAAGCGATTAGATAAACACCGCTGCTAATACAGTTATTTATATAACTGTCTGTGACGCTTTTTCAAGGTCCCGCTATCGCTAAAAAATTACATAAAAAACAAAAGAGAAATACTGCTGGCCGGCTGCCCAAAATCAAAAATAAAAAGACCGAACAAATGTGCAGCGGAGTTGCTGCAAAAATGCTTAATTGCTAAAATTAAGCGACTGCCAAGTTTATATTGCTCACTTTTCGCATAGTGTGTGAATCCGATTTCCAAGACTAAACAAAAAAGGGTGTGCAATAAACAACATTCTTGTTACTGAATTTCCGCTGAGGCGAGAAATGTGATGAGATTCGTCAGGGAGATGTAATAATAAACACTAATCACTAATCAGTGCAAAATGGCGCTAAAAGGCCACACAAAGGGGCAAAATAAACATAAAACCACATGAATACCAGACGCAGTTCAAAGCTTGACGTCACAAGGGGTTAAATTCCCCCTAAGAAAAAAACAAGAAATTTAAGGAACTGCGGGGAAAAACCTGATTTGAATTCGCGGGTCTTTCGCAAGAACTTTTTCCCTTTAAAAATAAAGAAAGCAGGTCAGAAAAGAAAGGGAAGAAAAGAGAAATGGTTAAAATTTCTCTTAAGAAACAGAACATTTACATTTACACACTCGCAAACTCAGCTAAGCACTTGCACGCGCAGCTGGTGTCTGGCATAGGAGTGAGCGAGAGGGCGCTACTGGCACATGGAAATAATTTGCCATTGTGTTGGTTACTCTGACTAGGCAGTATAAGTCAATTTGCACATTTTTCACTAATAAATCGAATGCATTTCCTTTAAAATTGTAAAAGCAAGCCAAATAAATTTTTTAGTGGCATAATTGACATTAAAAAAAACCCGCAACTGATTTGCAAATTTTTTGTACCGACGATGCCGGTCTGCCAACTCGTTGCCTAAGTTGCATAAGTTGGCAGTTCCAGCGTGGTTGCAAAAAAAAATTGGGCAAAAATGGGTGAAAAATTATGCAGCGTGGCTTTATTAATTTTTCTTGGGATATTTATGATTTACTTTAATTAACAAGAATAATAGACCTGAGAAGGCCGTTCATACGGTCAGTTCATAACGTGTTTTATTTAAGGCGTACACCTTTTCGGCACAATTACTTCGCCTGGTTATGTAAGCACTTTTCGGCTTTTTCCAAACTTATACAGGGAGTTATTTTCGGTGCAGTCGAGCAGGTCTGCGTATCCATACATAAAAAATTAGTTAAACCACCACCGACACAATAAAAAAATTAGCACATTACATAACTACAGAATCTAGCGCAAGGTGACGTGAAACAAAAAATCAATGGCAGAATTACGGGGCACACCATGCACTTATTATTCTCCGCCCTACTTAATGCGGTTGGTGCCTCAAAAATGTGGTAAATATAGAAAATAGCACAATACCTTCAGTTGTTAACTTCTCACAAAAGTCACAGAATAAAAACTTCTTTTGCAGAATCAGACGAAGCCGCGTGCTCACTTGGCGAATGAAATTCGTGAAGTGCTAATGTGACCGTGGGAAAGTAACTAAAAGATCCAGGCGATATCTTTTTTAACAATTTTTAAATATACCATATATAAAACTATTATACCAGAAATATACCACTAATTTGGTGTTTAAGTCTTTCACCAATCGAAAAAAAAATTATTTTTAATTTTATTAACATTGTATATGTAATGTTATAGCGATCAATGTAAAATTATGAATTAAAATCTTTATAAATGTTTTCAGCTATTCGGCGTATTCAGAAGAATAACATGCTCACTGATGGATAATTAATCAGTGATCAAGTTTGTTCTGCTGAACGCTTATTTACATTATGCATTAATTAATTAATTATTTTGTTTGTTTTTATTTATTTTTTGTATACATTCTGATTTTTCTGTTTATTCTTATCGATATTGACACCATCGATATAGGCTAGCAGATATGTATCATGTATCATGAAAAAGTTGCGTACTATTATTACGCTCCTTTTTCGCTGATCATGATGGAATAATTTTTCCAACATGATCAGTGATCATACAGTGATCATTCAGCAGAACCATCGTAAGAAATCTATCAGTAATCAGTGATCATGTTGTTCTGCTGAATACGACCAACATTAGTGGCATTAAATATATGGAAAATATTTTGTCGCAAACATTTAATCATTGTAGTCTATTTTTCATAGTTTTTTTTTTTTTGGGTTTTTCCGTCCAATTCTGTCAGTGTAGCCTATTATTTCACCGGGATTTTGTGTACCTTGTAGATCAAGGCAATCAAGTCCACGGCGTTGTGCAGGTAATCCCGGCGGATCATTTCGCACTCAGTCCCTGGAGCTCATTAAAAAAAAACCGACGACAAAAATACACGAGGTACGCGTGGTTTTGCAGCACTGGCTGCTAGTGTTGTGAGCGTGGGGAGTCTCAGGCTTCTTATTATTTTCAACAAACATTTTTATCTTTTCTAAGTAATTGAATTTTTTTGCCTGAACGCAAAATATTCTAATGGGAAATATATATAGCTGTCTCATTCCGGGCTTTATTGGCCATTTAGTATTTTTTGTATGATGTGGTTTCAAAAGCGCAGTGTGACCGTGTCCGTGAGAAATGCCACGATAGTATCGGACAAGCACAGATTTTTCCATCGCCAACTTGGTCCCATTCCGGCCGTCCATTCGGCCATTTTTTCGAAACTCCCAGCGGCATCAAGACGTGAGTATTCCGAGAGTCCCAAATAGGCAGTGGTTCGAATCTTGATGAAGTGGAAGATGGTTGTCCTAAATCCAGGCAGCATCCATATGACATACGCTTCCAAGCGCCATGCACAAAGCAGGCACAACCAAACACTCCGGATGAATTGGAAAGCGTGCGCACGTGGGAAGCAAAAACCCCACCTTTGAGGTTATGGCGAAGCACTAACACGGGTTTCTTGATCCACAGGTCCGTAACTCTTTCTACGTTAACATGTCGGGAGGCCTAGATATTCTGTCCCTCAAGGAGGACGACATCACCAAGATGTTGGTCGCGACCACCCACTTGGGTTCGGAGAACGTCAACTTCCAGATGGAGCAGTACGTGTACAAGCGCCGCGCCGATGGCGTTAACATCCTGAACCTGGGCAAGACCTGGGAGAAGCTGCAGCTGGCGGCCCGCGCCATCGTGGCCATCGACAACGCCTCGGATGTGAGTATAACAATAAATACTATATACATTGTCCATGTGACCGGAGAGGAGACTCTCCAAGAGCGAAGGGCTTGGCTAACATGATGATTTTACTACTAATCTTTCGGGTATGAAATTCAATGATTTCAACTTCACCGCTGACCAGCCAAGCCTTACAGCCTTCGAGTGTTTGCCCCTATATTATTCTGTCCACCAGCCGGACCTCTTTCTGATGAGCCATCTCTCCTTGCCCTTCCCGTAGGTCTTCGTCATCTCGTCGCGTCCCATTGGCCAGCGCGCCGTGTTGAAGTTCGCCAAGTACACGGACACCACTCCCATTGCCGGCCGCTTCACACCCGGTGCCTTCACCAATCAGATCCAGCCAGCTTTCCGCGAGCCGCGTCTGCTGGTGGTGACCGACCCCAACACCGATCACCAGCCCATCATGGAGGCCAGCTACGTGAACATCCCCGTGATCGCCTTCACCAACACCGACTCGCCGCTGCGCTACATCGATATTGCCATTCCGTGCAACAACAAGTCGGCCCATTCCATCGGCCTGATGTGGTGGCTGCTGGCCCGCGAAGTGCTCCGCCTGCGCGGCACCATCTCTCGCAGCGTCGAGTGGCCCGTGGTCGTCGACCTGTTCTTCTACCGCGATCCCGAGGAGGCCGAGAAGGAGGAGGCCGCCGCCAAGGAGCTGCTGCCCCCGCCCAAGATCGAGGAGGCCGTCGACCACCCGGTCGAGGAGACCACCAACTGGGCCGATGAGGTGGCCGCCGAGACCGTCGGCGGAGTGGAGGACTGGAACGAGGACACCGTCAAGACCTCCTGGGGCAGCGACGGACAGTTCTAAGGAATCCATTCAATTGTCGTTAGGCGCGGCCTCTGTCGCGGCATAAATAAACATCTTATGTTTATATCTAAACCCCCACGTGTTTTAATTTCAATGCTGTATTATATATGCTGTGCGTTTAATGCATTTCTTGGAACTGGATTATGATTTGTTCATTTCATGATGCTGTCTGAATAGGAAGTATTCTAAAACAACGAACAATTGTTCATTTAACTTACTCCTGGTCAAGTAATAAGATATTCACATAAATCCTGCCAAATGGACAATTTTTAACTAATCCAAAAGTTCGTGGGTCATATTAGGTAGGACCCATTTAGGATGATTGTTAAATTGAATCCAATCGGTCAACCTATGACAACAGTTTTCAAAAATGTCGTTTCGAGATAAACGCGGTTAAAGTTGTAGGTTCAGGGGTATATGCATTAACAGGATGTTTTTAAAATTTTAAACTATTGATAGGGAAGAAAAAAAAATTGGCCCTTAACCATTACAAAATGTGACTTAATTTAATAGCTTGGAATTTGATTTTGATTTGTTTGTTTCATGATCTTTAGCCTAAAGTTCCACTTTAAATTGAGAGCATTACACAAAGATTGTATCAAAAAAAGAGCTCAGCGTTGACCCCACCACAACACGTGATTTAAGGGTGTTGCCTGCCGTGTGATTGCTCCGTGAGGTTGCTCCTTTTTCAAAAGTTTTGCATTTTAATTGCCAGACTCTGAACCTCATATCCGATGAAAAGAACTAAATTATTATCCAAAAACTAAGTGTCGATATAATTTATTTTTTTAGGCTGAATTTCGAATAGTACGCTGCTATTCCCTTCCTTTTCCATTTGTTAGTTGTGCTCAATAGGAAACGCATCTCGGATTAGACAGAGAGAGACAGCAGTACTGCTGTTGCACCGAAAAGAGTAACCAACACTTCTGGTTCAATTTACAGTATTAATTTATTGTTTTTTTTCGGCTTTGTACAAATAGAAAACAGTTAATGATCGCAATTAGAAATTGCTCATATTGTATACATATCCATATAGTTAATTCCTCTCGCCAAACTTATGATTTTAGTGGTTTCACATCGCCTAAAAAAATGGGAAACAAAAGGTGTGTAAACGAACATATACGCGTAAAAGTAATGTTAGAGACAAAAATTGTGTTAATCTGGTAAAACTATGTATCGGTTTTAACATGTTTATGTTTTTGTATATGTATATGTGTAGCAGCGACTTTACACCTTTTTAAATTTGGACAAGTGATCAAAAGTAGCAGTCGACTGGTTCGATCGAGCACTTTTTAAAGGGATTTGGACGCGCCTTGAATAAGTTCATCTTGCGTATCTCCTTACTTTCCTCCTCGCTTCCGTTGTTCATCTTGCTGCTAATGGGAAAGAAGATTGCGGATTAGTATGCTAATATTTATTGTTGCAGTGCAGTGCATTGGTGAGTGGCGAGGACGGGTCCCTAGTAGTGATAGTAATATTAATACTGCAAACTTTGCTTCGACCCTAAGCTGGGATTGGGATTGAAATGAGTGGCCGACTGACTCATCCGTTGCCCGGAGACGGAGACAAAGACAAAGACGCTCCCACTGACCATCTAACCCTATCGGCTGCTCGGCTGCTCCGTTCCCTGCTGAGTCACGGCGGGAGTTTCAGGCCGATAAGCTTGCTGCTTGTTTGCGAATACGGCTACGGCTACGGCTACTGGTTACATCACAGCCCACTTCGTATCTGCATCTGCTTGCTCCACCCAGTTTGTTTGCCAGCGGAAAATAGGCCGGCGCAGCAGCACTCGGCTGATAAGATTATCGTGCCAAGCGAAATGTGCGGACTATGGAAAACAAGAAGAGAAACCGAAAAGGGAGCCAAGACAAGGTCGCAGTCACGAGTAATGTAATGTCTTGATGCTAGATTTTCACATCATGGAAATCAAGGTCCCTTAAAACTACACTACATGTGGTCCCAATTGGATACAGTTGGATAGTAAGATCAGGTCTAAGCTTCCGATAGAGATGGGGACATAATCAACCCACAACAGCTTTTGGGATGGCGTGATAGTGTACTGGCTTGAGAATATCTACCGTCATGAAGTGCCAAGTGGTCCGCTCAGCAGGAGCTGCCCGCTGTTGCAGCGGCAGCCGGCGGGCTCTGGACGTTGGGAGCTGCATGAGGAGCCTCCAGGCTGCTGGCCGCCGCCGTCACGGAGGAGGGTGAGGTCGACGTTATCGTCGAGGAGTCGTCGGCGGCGGAAAGCACGCTGTTGTCGCCGTAGAAGCGCGGCTCGTCGTGCGACTCGCCGCCCGGGGAGGCTGTCTCCTCGTCTGAGTCCTCGTCGTTGGAGCTGTCGCCGGCCGTGGTGTTGAGCTTGTTGCCGGCGGCGGCAGCTCCGGCGCCCGAATCCTCGCCAGCGGCCAGTGAGCTGGTGGGCACGTGCTTCAAGCGTTCGTAGCAGGCGTCGCAGACGCGCAGCGCCTTGGTGCTCTGCTGCGGCAGCAGGAACTTCTTGGCCGAGCAGCCGGCGCAGACGACGGCGCCACAGTTGCGGCAGTGGTGCCGGCGCTGGATGAAGGTGAACTGCGTCTTCTTGCAGTGCATGCAGACGCTGGCATCGGTGTCCGGCACCCAGACGGCGGCATGGTTCTCCACCGGCTTCTTGCCACTCTTGCGCAGCAGATCTTCCACGCACTTGTTGATGTGCGCCATCCACTCCTGCTTCTCGGTGCTGGTGGCCGCGAACACCACGAACGACTTGGTGGTGGTGCGGATGTACCAGCCATTCCGGTACGCCTGGTTGTCGGCAATCGACTCGAGCGACACCTCCTCCAGCGGCATGATGTGCTGCTTGTTGTACTTCTTCTTGCCGATCACGATGTTGCCGTACACCAGTATGTCGTTGAACAGGAAGAACTGGCGCGACTTGGGCCGCTTGCGGCACATCTTGGTCAGCACGCCCTCGCCCACCAGGACGCGTCCCTGCATGGCCAGCGGAACGCCCGAGCTGCCGAAGCAGTTCTCCACGGAAGCGATGCGCCGGGTGTTGGCCTCCGAGTTCACCAGGCGGTCCACCATGGTGGAAGTGGATTCGGGTTTGGGTTTGGGCTTGGCGAAAGTTGCTGCTCCGAATCAGAGTTTCAGTCCAATCCGAATGGAAAGGTAGCCAACTGTGACGACAGACTATGTGTTTGTGTTTGTGTGTGTGAGTGAGTGTGTGTGTGGTGTGACACTCGGTACTCTGGCACCGTTCCAGTATGCGTATGCGTATGTGTGTATGTGTGTCTCGCTGCGGACTGGGCGCAGCTGTTGCAAGTCCTGGCAGCAAATGGCCGGGCCGATCCTGTTGCAAGTCCCGCTGACGCTGCCGCTGCTCCCGCTTTATGCAATGCACGAACACGTCTTTAAACTATTAACTGGCTTTTTCTACGCCGTCCGAAACGTCATGACTCACTCACACCACAGCAACAACAGCAAAAACAAACTGGGCTCTCTCGCTCTCTCCTTCGTGGTGTTATTGTTGCTGCTGCGACTGCGATTGTGTTTTCATCGGGTTTTTATTTAGGGTCGTTTGGTTTGGTGGGTTCCCTTGCACCGGAAAACTGAACCCGCTGGCCTGTTCGGCGCTTGGGCTGCGATTTCAATTTCGATGCGAAGCGTAGGAAGCGCAACGGCAACTTTGTTTTAAACACCAAGTAATTTATTTTGCCAGCGCAGTGTGGCCGTGCGAGGATCGCAAGTAAATACCGTGCGGTTCCCCAGTGTTGTAAATCACCGAAATAGTGTTTTCAACATCAACATTGAAAAAGGGAGCATGAGCTATGTTATATTTTCGTCTCTTTTGACAAAATCTAAAAATAAGTATACAATTGTTCAACCTTTTTTTAAATTTATGGCTGTTGTCTGTTAAGACTATTGGAGCGCGAGAGCTAAACACAAAAATGTATTAAAATGTGAATTTTTTGGAATGTCTAGTTCCGATATAAGAAGTTTCCCAGCGGGTGTTACCGGGCAAGAATCTATGAGGAACAAAGAACCTAACACCACATCACCACCAGACCTTAATGGCTTCTAGGACTTACCCTTACATTCTTCTGGTGATCCAGGTTGACCTGCACGGCAGCGTCGAATTCCTGCCAGTCGCGCAGGCGCTGCTCGCTGCGCAAGTGTAAGGGCTTCGAGCGGGTGACGCCAACCGGATGCGATCGCTCCGTTTCCTGGTCCTGGGCCCGGCGGCGACGCTCCACGGTGGCCTGCCAATGTTTGATCGTCTCGGGCGTCGTGGGCACTGTGATCGAGTGGGTGACCACCATGTCGTCGATGCGCTTGTGAATCGCCTTGAAGTTGGGCATAGGTCGGCTGTGGAACTGGCGGGCCTTGCTCTCCTCTTCGGAGCGTCTGCGCAGCGCCTGCTGACGCTTGCTCTCGTACACGTCCTTGTACTTGTAGGCCTTGGGGGTGGAAGTGGTGCCTGCTCCTGCTCCGGCGGTTTCGTCGTCGCGTTGGCGCATGGGTGTCCATTCCAAGCGCACATTGACACCGGAGCCGACTCTTTTATGGGCCTTGTCCTCGTCCCAGCCGAGGGGAATGATCTGTTTGATGTCGCTCTGCTCCTTTTGGCCGGGATCTGCTGGGATCTTTGTGCTTGGGTTTGGCTCCTGGGGCTCCGATTCAGTCTTCACTAAGGGCACAGTTTTAGTTTCGACTATGGGCACCCCTTCAGTTTTCACTATGGGCTCTTCTACGGTCTTCTGCTTGAGTTTCACGTTCACCTTGATACCATCGTCTTGCTCCCGATCGACCTTTTCCGGAGTTGGGCAGATGTCAACCAGATGGGGGACATTGCTGAAGCACTGATCTGATGGAATCTTTGGTTTTGGTTCCTGGGGCTTCGATTTAAGTTCCACTTTGTGCTCTAGGGCCTCCCGACCGATCTTCTGCGGAGTGGGGCAGATGGACTGACGGGGGGCATTGACATTGTTGTTCTCCTTGTTGTTCTTGGACTCTGCTGCAAAAACAGGACAAAAACAGTTAAGATTGTGGTCAAACTTGGCGCGTTTTCTCAGCTTGGCGGCGATGCAGGGATGCGGAGATGCCTCGGACACGTACCGAAAAAGTTTTGCGAGTGATCCAACTTGTAGTCGCCAACGTTGATGGCGTCCCAGTCAAAAGTTCCGTCCAGATTGGCCATGGCAATAACTTATGGGTTCACAACCAACAACTTTGATTTTTATTTATACTTTTTAGTTGCCTCGCGCCACCTCCGTTACACGAAACTATCGATAACAGGAAGCGTTGATAACAAAAATGATGCCTCTGATATCGATGACTTGCTGTACGATATGTATCGTGTGTTGTGGCGCGCCAATTCACTTTGTGACTTTTCAGCTACGATTTAAAGAAACGTATTAGGTTGACTGCTTGTAAAACTATATTAACATTCTTTTTTTTAGCAAATTAGTTAGCTGTTATTATGATGCTTAATTAGATTATCCATTAAATGAATTCTAACATAAGTAATTCTTATTATGCGAAATGCAACTACATTAAATCCTCCTTTACTCCGTTTTTATTTTTTATTTTATTTTGATTAATGTTTTCCTGTTGTAATAAAACTGTTGAAAATAAAACTTACTGGCTTATGTGAATGTCCTCCTTTAGCTCCTTGTTAGGCTCTATTTCAAACGAATATTTTGAGCAACTTTTGGTGTATGTGCGACAAAGTACCCGTAGAGTATTGAGGTGCACATCCTGTGGACCTGTGAGCGCCTTAAAAGCTGGCAGCAAGCTTTTGCCATTGCTTTTGCTGAAAGCTGCGACTGTGCCTCAGCAGAAGGGCTGGCGGCCAAATCGGTTGCTAGTCTTTGCTGGGCAGCGCATGGCAACAGGTCGTGCAGCGCAACGCCCGCAGGATCCTCTGCGTCCGCATTCTCGGAAGCCTGAGCCTCCGAGTCCGGATAGGCCAAACTCTTTTCGTATTTGTTTTCAATTTGGCAGCAAGGCAGCAAAGAACTACTCCCGGGCATACGAATTGCGCGCGCTAAAAATAACGGGTTGCTCGATGCGACCCGCCAGTTAAATCAGCTTAATCCTTCAGCATCCTTGAAGCGTCAAACCGAACGGAGTCGCCTTGGGCGCCAAAGTCAAAGGCTGGGGCGGAAATGCGTGGCGCGCCTCTGCAATTAGCCGGATCCGGTGAACAGGTGAGCAGAGCAGAGCGGAGCGGGTGGCAGCTTCACCTGCGGCTATTTTTATATCCTGCAGCACACAGAAACATTACACCACCCGCACACACGGACACAGCGGCTAATTGCGGTGCAGTGCAGTCCCAGCTTTAATTGGAAGCTGTGTAAGCAGTGCATCTGGCTGCACTGGAAGGATGGCGGCCTTGAGCACAATTGCCAGGCTCTGTTTCCTAAGCCAATCGCATCCAATCGCCAAGTCCGCCACCAAAACAGAGCCTATTTCCATTGATTGGGCCCGGGCCCATTTCCCATCTGAGCCCAATAGGATCTTGCGAATCAATAAAGGTTTAAAATTAACCGTTAGTCGAGCGAGACGGCGAGAGCTGCGTGCATGCTAATTCTATTTGCCCAACTTCGAAGTCCCCCCCTCCCTCCCCTGCCATACGCCCCCATTTTACCTGGAAGAGCAGGACATAGCTGTAACTTGTGCGTGCTCCATTGGCGAGAGCGGATGTGGGTGACAGATGGCAATGGCGATGGCCGGAGGCAGCGTGCGGAAGCGAGAGGAAATTACATTACAAGATATCAGCAAAGGATTCCATTGAGAACATTGAGCAGGACGGGAAGAGGATGGGCGAATGTTATTAGCTCCTCTCTTTTGCCCACCATGTATGTATGTATGTACATCGATCTCTGATGTCCCTTTTTATTGGTAAAGAGGAGAGGGGACGGGGTCGGGGTCCGTTGACTAGCAACCTACAACCGCAAACGGAGTCCGTAATCCGCTTAGCGCAAGGGGGGGGCGCCAGATTACAGAAGAGACTGCATTGGAGGCAACCGACCCACTACCACCCTTAAGTGAATCTGCAGAGCATTTGCCGTTATGGTCTAATTAGCGGGGGGAGGAGCCAGCGCCCACCACCACTACACCACAATGGCGCATTCCTGGGCTGCTCTTTGAGTGCCAGGCTACCCCCCGCCCCCCCCTGTCCACCATTGTTGCATTTGCGGTGCTTTCACTTTTTTCCAAAGCACTCCCTTAGCCTTGCCTGCCATACCACTCTGTGCACTTCCAGCGGGAATGCTCGAAATCTCGATCGGTTTGTTGCCTTATCAGGGACGGTCCCTTTTGAAAAAGGGATTTCCTCCGCCACCCATCGAACCTATTCAACAAAACACAAAATTTGGCCCAGAACGAGACAGAAAATCAATAAGTCGGAATTTAATGAGTTTCAAATATTTGCCACGGTGCGGGGAGAAGTGTCTGTATGGGTGAGCGTGTGGGGTCGCATTATTGAAAGGGGATGAAGGTGGGTGGGGGTCTCGCTTATGAAGATGCCTCTCGACTTGAGTGCCCGTCCCCCTCCGCCACCGCCCGTTGTATCTGTCCCTGTCACTCTAAGCCCAGGCTTACGCAGTGGAAGTGGCACAGCCAGGGGTAGTGGAAGAGGAGTAGAAGTGGAGAAGAGTCGGGAAAACCATCGCTCGGGAAGGCACCCATAGACCGCTCATTTGATTCAATTCCCTGCTTCCAGGCGGATGGGATGCCTCTGCTGTCCTGAACGTAATACGGCTCAGAAAGTCCAGAATGACGGGCGCTAACATCGACTACGACTACCTGCTCAAGTTCCTGGTCCTGGGCGACTCCGGCGTGGGCAAGACCTGCCTCCTGTACCAGTACACGGATGGCCGTTTCCACACGCAGTTCATCTCCACCGTGGGCATCGACTTTCGCGAGAAGCGACTGGTGAGTAGTCACCCACAGTTTACTGACCTTGATTCCAGTTGCATCTGTGCTACATTTATTTTATAATAATTTGCAAATTATTATATGGGGGCAACTCGTTAAATAAGCTATCAATAAAGCTCAAAAATTTTAAGCCAGATTAAGAAAATTTCTCGGAAAGTTTGTTCCGAATATATGTACATATGTATGTAGCTTTAAAAATAAGAGACTATTTTGCGTAGAAACGGACAGACGGTCATAAGACCGGCCATGGCTAGATCGACTCTTATCGTGATGCTGATTACGGGTATATGTACATACATATATACATTATGGGGTCTGATTGCAACGAGGCCATCTATAGAACACACTATTTTTCTGTGCATCCTGCAGTTGTACAACTCCCGCGGACGTCGACACCGCATCCACCTGCAGATCTGGGACACCGCCGGGCAGGAGCGGTTCCGCTCCCTGACCACGGCCTTCTACCGCGACGCCATGGGGTTCCTGCTCATCTTCGACCTGACCAGCGAGAAGAGCTTCCTGGAGACGGCCAACTGGCTGTCGCAGCTGCGGACGCACGCCTACTCGGAGGACCCGGATGTGGTGCTGTGCGGCAACAAGTGCGACCTGCTGCAGCTGCGCGTGGTGAGCCGGGACCAAGTGGCGGCACTCTGCCGGCGCTACCGACTGCCCTACATTGAGACGAGCGCCTGCACGGGGGCCAACGTGCAGGATGCCGTCGAGCTGCTGGTGGGCCGCGTCATGGAGCGGATCGAGAACGCCGCCTGCAACCGGGAATTCTCGCTGCTGCTCACCCAGTCGCGCTGCCTGCCGAACATGGCCTACGGTCAGCCGGAGCCACTGCGTCTGCACGACCAGCGGGAGGAGCAGATGTCCTCTCCGCGGCGGAACTGCCGCAACTGCTAGACCCAAAGGGCCAAAAGCCCATCCCTCCCTGCTAGTGTTGGGTAAAAATCAGTTGCTCACTTTTTAGTGAGTGAACAAAGTCACTCACTGAACAACTGAACCCTTGAACGACTTAACTGCTTGACAAATGAACAAGTGATCAAAAAAGTACAATAGTCGTGAACATGTTCAGTGAACAACTATTTTTTGTTCACTCAATTCTGAGCAAACCAACTCTAATCCCCACCTGCGTTGTTTATTGGCTCTTGTTTCCGGTTCTAAGTGTTTTTCGCTGTAAATAAATGTTGATTGTTAAGTGGAAGAGCCCCTGGGGCTGGTTTTATTCGGGAGGCCTACGGGTGGGCTGAATTCGGGTGCTCCGACCCTGGACTCAATTCCTCGATAAGAGAGCATAGTCGTGGAAATGATCCGACTCTTGTGAAACTCAGTAGATTGGTAGATAAAAGCCATGTAGCATAGGTACTATATGTGGTGTCTTTTAAAAAAATGACTTTAATCAGTAATTCGGAAGATACATATCTGTGTACAGCTGCGGTCAAAATTGCAGTTCTCTTTTAGATTTTGGAACTAAAATTCAAAAATGGAAATAATGTACTATGAACTAAATGGGGCAAATATAAGTATCCGAATCTATCATAGATAAATATATTCAAATATTTTTGAAAAAGGATAATAAAAAAAATGTTAATTTGAAAAATAGATCAGATATTTAAATCATTTTTGTTCCAATACAAAGTAAAAAGTTTAATCATTTTCATAAAATCATTTGCTGCAGTATATTGAAAATTGAATATTATGGAGTTAAACTAAAAGAATAAATGGTTTTGAAAACCTAATTTTGTTTATTGGTAGATAAGCATTATGATAAATTAAAAAAAGCTGTCCTATGCCTTAAAGGTATGTTTTTCTAACTTTTTGGGGCTTTCTTAATTGCAGATCCTTTAAAAAGAACAGACTTAGTGCAAGTCTGTTCTGCATCCATAAATATTTAGTTAAGGTATACACCATTACAAGATTATCCAGAATCCAGAGCACCAGCACAAACACATCATCAGTATGAGCAGCCTGGCAGAAATGCTGCAGCGGAAATGCGGTGCTCCACTGCGCTCCTCGATCCACTGGCGATAGTACTGGACGTCCACATAGACCCCCGGCAATCCCGGTTCCGCGCATCCGTAGCCCCACGAGACCACGCCCACCAGCCGCCCCTCGTGCACCAGCGGACCTCCCGAATCGCCCTGGCATGAGTCGGTGCCGCCCTGCAGCCGCCCGGCGCACATCATCCCCGGCAGCAGACCGGCCTTGTAGATCATCCGGCAGGTCTGGTGCCGGATGGTGCTCACGTTGGCGGTCAGCAGGATGTTGGACAGGGAACTCTGGGAAAAGGGCGGATTAAATAGAAAAAAAGAAGTTAGTGGCTTTTTGCTTAAGAATTAGTATGCAATGATGTACATATGTACATACCTAATCTGAAATTAATAAGTTGCTTATTCCAGTAACAAGTAGGTTATAGAAAAACTACTCAAAAAAAAAAAAGACAAACAAAATCAATGTATATTCGTATAAATGAAAAAATCAGCAAACTTATAGTTTATTTAAAATTTATTTTTCCAATTTTTTTTTTCTATGGGAGCCATATAATATAGTCGTTTGATCCAACCCGATCCGACTTATATACCACCTGCAAAATGAAACAAGATTTTTGGGAAAGTGTCATCCAGGTAGCATTTAAGAAGTAGAGAAACGGACGGACACTGCGTTGTAAAAGAATTTTTTATATAATATTTAAATTAAATATATAAATATTTGAATTAATATGGAAAAGATAAGTTATTAAATGAATGAGTCCAATTGTTTTAAATGCTTATATTTAAGTTTTATATGGTTTACATTTAAATTGCAATTTGAGATATTTAAATCGATTCAAATAGTCGAAAGAATACCTTTAAAAATATTTAATATTTGTTTTTTTTTTGGTATTATGTTACACTTGACCTTTATCAGTAAAGTGAATTATTTCACATTACGCTGCTCAAAATAAACCTATTAGTAATTACTTAATATATAGAATAACCATAGTCCCATTTTAGGAATAAATAAAAACTATAAAAAACAAATAAAAATTAATTAAAAACCTCCAATGGATAAAAATCAAAGCAAAGAATGTTTAGGTAAATTGAGTAGAAAATGGTTACAGTTACTACGGTTGTACACTGTTCACCAGTTCACTTACCTGCTCCGTGCGTCCCCAGCCAGCCACCTGGCACAGCCTCCCAGGGGGCGTGGCCTGAGCCGCCAGCTGGATGGGGGCCACGGCGGAGGTGAGGGTGACGCCCTCGTCAGAGGAGGGCAGCCCGGTGCGCAGGAAGAGGATGCCCACGTCGTCGCGCATGCTGTCCGGGCTGAAGGTGTGCATGTAGGCCATGGAGCTCACCTGGGACACGAGGGTCCCATTGCGTCGCTCGAAGCGGTTCAGGGTGCCCAGGACGACGACAAACTCGTCGGGTCGTCGATAGCGCTTCCTCTGGTTGCTGCAGTAGGCAGTGGTCATTGGTCCATTGGTCATCACAACTCAAGGCCACTCTACTCGGGCTGAGGCTCACTACTCACTTGTACAGACAATGGGCGGCGGTCAGGACCTTCCGGGGCGCAATCAGTGCTCCGCCGCAGATGTGGCCACTGCCAAAGTTGTTGTCGTGCCGCCGGAGGCGAATGGAGACCAGGTGGCGTGTCTCGTCCGAACTGGCCACGCTGCCATTGATGATGCGCGGCTGCTGCTGCAGCGGATCTCCTTGCGGACCAGTCTGCTCGGTGGCACAGGTGAGCAACCAGCAAATGGCGTAGGTGCAGCCCAGCAGCCAGCTACGCCGAGTCATCGCAAATCAGGCAAGAATCAGAACCGAACTGAATCGAAGTCTAGAGGCTGGGAGCCGCTTCAGGCAAGTCTAACAATTGGCAATCAGCGGCGCTGCTATCAGTTCGATAAGGCAAACATAAACATATTAGCCGGAGATCCACAGCCAGCCGCACTTCATTATTGTGACTGGGAAACTAGTGATTCGAGGCGAGGGTCGCACAGAGAGAAAATGATATGAAAAGATGATCGATCTGATCATTAAAAGTTCAAATAATACGTCAGTTTTTAATGTTGATATGTCTTCACACCAATTTGCTGATAAAGGGGCATCTTCAAACGTGAAATACAATACTTTTTGCTATGTTTGAGTAGCTTGTAGTTTGAGCCTGCATAAAAATGGTAATTTAAAGTAGAAATATAAAATGGAGGGCATCCTGGGCTCAAAATCGTACTGGTCTTAATTTTAAGTGTGTGCTCTTCGATACAATTACAGTATAAATGGAGTTCGGCGTGTATAAATATGTATATATTCGATGGTTAAACTTGAAGGCACTTTGGACGGCGTCGACGGCGAAGATACGAGATTGCTTGGGGAAACTTAGGCTAGATCCATCCGAGTGGAGTGGAATGCATTGAATGGTGGTGGCTATTAACCTGGAGCCCTTATATGTAGCCCTGCAGGCTGCGCGACTGACTGTGGTGGTGGCGCGGCGGCTGGTAGCCCGGCTCCTGCATCTCCATCTGCATGACCAGGTTCTTCTGCTCGCCACGGGCTTCGTAGGCCTGGCGGGCCTCGCGCTGCAGGATGAGGGCGGCCAGGCCGAGGAGCATGAAGGTGACCACGGCCAGGGCGTAAGACCAGCCCAGCACGTTGAACTTGGGGTACATCATCCAGTCGCGGCGGTAAGCGCAGCTCCCGAAGATGCACACGGCCAGAAACATGAACAGAGCTGTGTCGGATGAACGAACTTAGTTTGCTTCAACAGAACAAGATCGGGACTAGGGATACGTACAGGAGACAGCGGTGCCCAGGTAAGAGAGACGCACGAGCAGCCACTCGTACTGCAGCACGGGCTTCAGTGGCAGCCGGATAATGGTCAGCGAGAGCAGGACGAGCACGAGGAACACGATGATGAAGGACATGGTGACGAAGCCCTGCACAGCCATCAGCCAGCCTGGCAGCAGGTACTCACGGATAACGTAGTAGTCCTGCGGGTGGAAGAGAATCGGTTTAATCGCTGGTTGGTTGCCCGGAACCCAATGCGTCGCATGCATATGCTCACGTGCGAGAAGATGTTGTGGCAGCCGTTGAACTGCTTGGGGAACTGGTACTTGGGGTACACGAAGTCCTTGAAGCAGTACTGCCAGAGGCCCATGTTCTTGAAGCTGGCCCGCGTCTCCTCGTACGACTCGATCCAGTACGGCGAGCAGAAGGACATCATCAGCACAAAGAAGCTGGCGAAGGTGACGATGGCCCCGAAGACCACGCCGTCTGCAGAAGGATGGGGGATTGGTTATGGAGGGTGTGGATGTGGATGTGGATGCAATTCCAGGTCAGCCCGCATCCGCATGCGTCACTTACTTGTGGCCCGCGGGTAGTCTCCCTTCTCGACTCCAGAGTCTGTGGTGTCCTGCGACTGCTGCTTGTTGAGTTCGCGCATCCTGCTGACCTTGTGTCCTTGTCCTGATTCTCGGCGGATCGCAGTTGGAGCGGATTATTAGAGTATCGTTTCTGTGTTGTCTGGTTTTCAACAGCGTAAACAAATGCAACTCGCACACACCCAAAAAAAAAATAGGTGGGGCTCAGTGTTGCCAGATGTTAAAACTGCTTTCCCCCTAAATAATCTCGACCAACACTGATAACCCCCTAAAACAAAAACAGTTTTCCCCTGAAATTAAAACACACGTTAGATTTCAAAAAACATTTGGCAGAAATATTCATTTTTGATCTCATTTTATTGTGCAATTAATGTAACTTATGATATATATCTTTAATATGTGCTTACAGTTTTGGTTTGCATTTTTGTATACATTTTCTTCACCTAAAAAAGTGGTAAGAAATGTTTAATTCAAGCTTTGGTATATTTTTGGAACCATTTTAATGTGAGCCAAATACCGAAAGCCCGCGCGTTAGGGCTTTATTTTGACCGCTGCCACAGCCACTAAAAATCAAAACTCAAAACTTAAAACTCAAAATGCGAGGGAGCTGGCCAAGGCTTCGGCCCCCGGCGCTGGCGCTGCTCCACCTGCTGCTGATCCTGCTGCTCCACCTGTTGCCCGCCACCGAGGCGGCCTTCCGGAACGCCACTGCCAGCCGCGGAAGTGACAGTGCCCGGAGAAACAACGCCACCTGTGCCCGGAAACTTCTGCCGGAGATTCTGCCACTGCCACAGAGCTGTCCGCCCGAAGTGCTCGGGATGAGGGGCACCGTGTACATCCTGTACGACGTGAACATCTCCGAGGGCTTCAACCTGCGCCGCGACGTCTACATTCGCATGGCGGTGTTCGTGCGCCGGCTGCAGCGCCGGCGGAGATTCCGCCAGGTGCGCCTGGTCCTGCCGCCCTGGCCCCGCCTCGTCCACTGGCACTCGCAGGGCCTGCAGCAGGCCGGCCTGCCCTGGAGCCACTTCTTCGACCTGGCCAGCCTGGGCCGCTACGCGCCCGTTTTGGACTACGCCGAGTTCCTGGCCGAGCAGAGGCTCTTCGGCAATCCGGGCGCCCCCCTGGTGCACGTGGCGCACGCCTTCCGCCTGCAGCACTACGAACACATGCTGGAGCAGGGCATCTTCCGGGACAAGTTCGAGCGCGTCACCGACAAACCGTGCAGCGAGGCATCCCTGTCGGGCGGGGCACTGCTCCAGCAGCCGGAGCTGCGCGTGGGCCGCTTCCACTGCGTGCGGTTCCAGGGCAGCGCCGGGCTGCTGGAGCAGCTGCTGCGCGCGGCCATTGCCGAGGACACGGCCGGTCCGGAGGACGCCGACGACATGCGCACCTACGCCCTGCTCAGCGCCGAGACCGTGCTGCACGACCACTGGGGCGACGAGCACTTCTGGCGCGCCCGGCGCTCCATGCGATTCAGCCCCGGTCTCGCCCAGGTGGCCGCCGACTTCCGGCACCAGGTGCTGGGCACTACGGACGCCACGGCCCGAGTGCAGCGGCCAGCGATGTGGGAGCTGGAGCGGGCGAAGCGGGACGCCAAGGGCGGAGACTACCTGTGCGCCCACCTGCGCAGGGGCGACTTTGTGCGGTCGCGGGACAAGACCACGCCCACCTTGAAGGCGGCCGCCCAGCAGGTGAAGCAGCTGCTGCGCGCCTTTAACATGAGCAGCGTGTTCCTGGCCAGCGACGCCACGCCCTACGAGCTGATGGAGCTGAAGGAGCTCTTCCACCGCTTTCGCCTTGTGCACTTCACACCGGAGTCCAACGCCCAGCGGCGGCAGCTGAAGGACGGGGGCGTGGCCGTGGTGGACCAGCTGGTGTGCGCCTACGCCCGCTACTTCGTGGGCACCTACGAGAGCACCTTCACGTACCGGATCTACGAGGAGCGCGAGATCCTGGGCTTCAGCCAGGCCAGCACCTTCAACACGTTCTGCAAAGCGCTGGGCGGTAGCTGCTCCCGCAACGCCGTCTGGCCCATCGTCTGGGATGATGATGGCGATAGCGATGATGGCGATGGCGACACCGAAAGCGGGGAGGACACCAATAGCCTTCCCTACTGAATAACTTCTGTGTTCCCGGCTGCAGCCTTTGCGCGTCCGATTGCCGTGCCGTATATATACATACATAAGTTGTAAGACCACTCAAACTCTAGTTTTAAGTCCAAAGCGTGTCAGATGAGCAACAGAGATTGCGAACAACCTGCGATTGTGTACCAAAAAATAAATTTATAGCCAATATTCTGCACTCAAGAGTCCCGAGAGAAGGGATTCATGTCGGCATTTATAGGATATATGTAGTAGTCATATTTATTATTATTTTTTGCTTTAAAATAAAGTTTAAAGTAAAAAAAAATTTAATAAAGTATTAAGCTAAAAGTTTCGAAAAGTATTTAGCTGATAGGTTTAAAGCCAAGATCAACGTATATTTTTTAAAAATTTAAATAGGAAAATAATTTACTCTAATATTATAATTATTTTTCGTTGCTTTAAAATATAGCTTAACATTTTTCGTTAATTAACGTATCTTTTTTAAAATGGAAATATCGCCACCTCTGCTTTCGCTCCCATGTATCGATAACATTCTTAGAATACCCTCTCTAGTGCGATAACTGCGATTATTGATTCCATCGTACCACCGCTACCGTTGCACGTGTTTTTATTTGTATCACACAAATATATTTCATTTCGTACCGTTTCGCGTAAATTTTGGAATCTGATAGCTGTGCCATGGGCAAGAAGAACAAGGGCGGAGCGCCCAACCTGGGCCGCCAGCTGATCAAGGATCGCTTTGGCCACACACCCCGCCGCAAGGTGGACAACGACACGATGGTGAGTGTTTAAGCGTTTCATTGGGCATGTATGGTGGCATATCTTAACTTATAATCCCGACTGCCGACCCAACAGCTGCACACCACCGAGCTGCAGGACGGCTACGACTGGGGCCGCCTCAACCTGTCCTCCGTGACCGAGGAGTCCTCGTTCCAGGCCTTCCTGCGCACCGCCGAGCTGGCCGGCACGGAGTTCCAGGCGGAGAAGCTGAACATCACGTTCGTGAACCCCAAGCAGCGGGTGGGCCTGCTCAGCAAGACGCAGGAGCAGCGCATGCACCAGAAGCACGACGAGCACCGCGACCAGCTGAAGATCCCGCGACGCCCCAAGTGGAGCAAGGAGACCAGCGCCGAGGAGCTGGAGCGGGCCGAGAACGAAGCCTTCCTCGACTGGCGCCGCGACCTGGCGCTGCTGCAGGAGGACGAAGAGATCCTGATGACGCCCTACGAGAAGAACCTCGAGTTCTGGCGCCAGCTGTGGCGCGTGGTGGAGCGCTCCGACGTGGTCGTCCAGATCGTGGACGCCCGCAATCCGCTGCTCTTCCGCAGCGTCGACCTGGAGCGCTATGTGAAGGAGGTGGACCCCAGCAAGATGAACATGATCCTGGTGAACAAGTCGGACCTGCTCACCGCAGAGCAGCGTCGCCACTGGGCCGAGTACTTCGACAGCGAGGGCATTCGCACGGCCTTCTACTCGGCCACTTTGGTGGAGGAGGAGCTGAAGCAGGAGGCGGAGGCGGCGCGCCAGGAGTCCTTTCCCGAAGTGCGGCAGCTGCGCGAGGCCGCCGAGGAGATTCACCAGTCGCTGGACAAGGTGGAGGACACGCTGAGCGCCATCGAGCAGAAGCTAATGGTGAACAAGGAGGAGCTTCCTCTTCCACTGCAGCCGGGTGATAAGAACAGCTCCCGGTTGCTGTCCCGCCTGGAACTCATCGAGTTCCTGCGCCACATCTACAGCGGTCCGCGACACACGGAGCAGCACGTGACCATCGGCATGGTCGGCTATCCCAACGTGGGCAAGAGCAGCACCATCAACTCGCTGATGACGGTCAAGAAGGTGTCCGTCTCGGCCACGCCCGGCAAAACCAAGCGCTTCCAGACGCTCTTCCTGGACAAGGACATCCTGCTCTGCGACTGTCCCGGCCTGGTGATGCCCAGCTTCGTGCTGACCAAGGCGGACATGCTGCTCAACGGCATCCTGCCCATCGACCAGATGCGCGACCACGTCCCAGCCGTCAACCTGCTGTGCGAGCGCATTCCGCGCCACGTCCTCGAGGACAAGTATGGGATCGTGATAGCCAAGCCGCTGGAAGGCGAGGACATGGAGCGTCCACCGCATTCGGAGGAGCTGCTGCTGGCCTATGGCTGTAAGTGCCCTATATGCTATACGTTTCTATCTACCTCATTAATCGTTCTCTCCCGCTTCTTTTCGGTGGGGTCCAGACAATCGCGGTTTCATGACCTCCAACGGACAGCCGGACCAGGCGCGCTCCGCCAGGTACGTGCTCAAGGACTACGTCAACGGCAGACTGCTGTACGCCATGAGCCCGCCCTCGCTGCCCCAGCCGGAGTACCACACTTTCCCGGAGCGCCAGCGCAAGGTCATCGAGGAATCGCAGCTGCCCAGCCAGCAACAGCGAGCCATGCGGGTGAGATTCGCAATTTGCACTTGCCACTCTAACCACTCGGCTAGATAACTTACTGATTGTCTGATTGCTGGATTGTCTGCCCCAGATTGACAAGAGCACGTCCAAGGAGCTGGACAAGCAGTTCTTCGACAACAAGCCCACCCATGCCCACGTCAAGGGACGCACCAACTTCCCGAACGTGCGCCTGGCCAACGATGGCTCCCTGGTGACCGGCGCCGATCCGGCGGCCAAGCCCTGGCGTCACGTGAAGAAGGATCGGCGCGAGAAGCTGCGCAAAAAGTTCTCACACCTGGACGAGCACTGATTTGTGAGCCCATAGTTATTTATTCCCTAGGGCGTGTCTGCCAGGCACTTGAATATTATTAGCACTAGACTTACGTAGCTATTAAAGTTCACTGAAACTAAAAACCTAAACACATAAACTGAACAAATAGCAAAGAAGATTAAGCAGATTACCCAGATAAATCACACGGATGTGCGAAATGGAGCGGCGCACTCAATGGAGGACTTTAGATGTCCGATGCGTGAGTTGAGAGCAATGTGGCTGCACTTTGACCGCCTGATAAGAGCGCAGATGTTTACGCCGAGTGCGTGGCCCCTGTGATCGCCAGTTTTAATCTAGCTGCGATGGCCACGGACGACAGTTGCAAGCACTTCGCCGAGCTGGACGTGAGCCGCCGCTCCGGGCTGCTCCACATCCACTTCCAGCGGCGCTGGCTGCGTCGCACCATATACGAGCTGATGCGCGCCCTCGACCTGGCCTCCACAGATGCCCAGCTCCAGGTGGTCGGGCTCTCGGGTCACTTTTCTGTTGGCTGCGGCGGCGACACGGAACCGCTGGCTCTGAAGCAGGGTCAGGAGAACAGGAGGCGACAGCTGGGGGGCGAGGGACAGGAGCAGCAGGAGGAGCACAGCAGCGAGGCCGAGGAGCAGTACATACACGAGAAGGCCGCCAACTTTGTAATGCGCTCGCTGGCCAAGAAGATGCTGGCCCACCGCAAGCTGCTGGTGGCCTTCGTGGAGACCGAGTGCCTGGGCCTGGGGCTCAGCGTGTGCAGCCTGTGCGACCTGGTCTTCGCCACGGAGTCCGCTGCCTTTGTGCCCGCCCTCGGCCACCTGGATGCCTGCACCAAGGTGGGGCCCGGCTGGATGGTGCCTCACATCCACTGGCTGCTGCACTTGGGCGATCGGGCCGATGCCCGCACTGCCCTCCACTGCGGCCTGCTGGCCGGGATGGTGGGCGAGCCGCAGCAGTTCTGGCACCGCATGGATCGGTATGCCGTCCAAGTGCCGTCCGCCGCCCTGCTGGCCACCAAGCGCCTCGTCATCCGCCCCTGGCGGGACGCGCTGCTGAAGGAGCTGCGCGAGGAGGGCACTCCAATGGCTGCCCAGCGACGGCGCCTGCTCTACGTCAGATCCAGGCTGTAAAATTTAGACATTAGTGCTTAGGAGCGACTGTATAATAAAGACAAATCTGCATGCATAAAAGGTACTATAGTTTATAGTTTAGTGTTGTGTTGCATTGAATTATGAGGTTTAGCTGGGCAGTATCTGCAGTTTGGGGGTATTTTCCCAATTTTGGTAAACATATATGAGTGAAGTATATTTTCGGGTAACAAAGTTAAATCTCTTTTGTGTCTAAAAGTAGAAAAAAGGTAAAAACAAAATGCACAAGAAAGCAGTTTATTTACTTATTCAGTTTAAAAACTATGAGAATTGGCAACTAATGGCGCTTGTTTTAAGAGGAAGTGAACAATTTTAAATTATATGGATCAATTTTAAAGCAAATAAGTTCATTTCGTCAGCAGATTTAAAAATAAAATGTATCGCTTTAAATAACGGAAAACAATTTTAAACGCTTGGCCATGATGGGTAGCACTTTCTCCGTATCTATCGAAACATTAACAACTGGAAAGCACTCTGATTGGTTCGGGCAGCACTGTTTCCGCGCCTATCCAAATCTCACTAGCAGCTGGAATGCACTCTGTTTCTTACGGGCAGCACTGTTTCCGCACCCATCGATGTCGATAACGGCCACTAGCAACTGGAACGCACGCCGATTGGCTTGGGTAGCACTGTTTCCGCATGTATCGATGACGAACATATCGTTTATGGGCAGCACTGTTACCACACGTATCGATATTAATGTGTGGCTCCAACATGGTGTCACCACCAACTGGAACGCTCAGCTGATTGTCTTGCCGGCGCGTGTTTACTTTTTCTTTTTGCGAGCAAACTTCGTTGGTTTCGTAAGTTCATTTCGCGGAAAGCTGAATGAAGTAGGCCGAAATGCAGCGAGCCGGAGCCCGACTGTTGCAGAGTGTGTGGCTGTGCCGCCAGCGCCTGGCCGCCCAGCCACCGGCCATCCTCGGATTGCCTCGTTATGCAATGCCGCCGCCAGCAGCCGCTGCCGCTGCCACTGCCACTGCCAATGCTCCACTGCGGCCCTTAAGCACGAGCGGCATTTATAACGCGTCGGATCGGAGGAGCCGGCGCCACGCAGCCGAAAGACCGCCACTTACCAGCAGCATCGAGGATGTGTGGACGCAGCTGGAGACGCACTACCAGCAATACAGCCTGCTCAACTACGAGCACTGCCAGCGCGTGCTGGAGCACCTGCAGCGCTCCGCCCAGGGAGTGGGCATGGAGCAGCTGCACTTCCTGCTGGGCTCGTGTGTGCCCGAGCTGCTGCCCGCCCAGAGTGCGCAGGAGCGTCTGCAGCTCTTCCAAGGCCTCTGGGCCCAACTCCTCCAGCTGGGTCAGCCCACGCTGGCCCACTACCACACCAGGCTGCAGGTGCTGCGCCAGAATCGCCTGCCCCTGCCGGATCACCGCTCGCTGCTGGCCGAGATTGCCGTCTACCACGGCGCCCCCGACGCAGCCCTCTACAGTGCCCTGCTGGACGTGGCCGGTTCGGCGGGCAACATGCGCCTGGCCACCGAGCTGCTGGCCGAGATGCGGGAGCGCAGCTTTGCTCTCACGGACCGCAACTTCCAGGCCCTGCTGCTGGGCCATGCCCGCAACGGTGATCTGGCCGGAGCGGAATCGGTGCTGGCCAGCATGCGGGCGGCGGGCATACAGCCCGGCAGCGCCAGCCAGGCGCTCTGGTTCGAGGCCCTGGTGCAGAGCGGCCAGGTGGCCCGGGCCAAGGAGCTGCTGCAGACGGAGGCGGACTTCTCGGCCGCCCAGCTGCTCCAGATGCTGCGCGGCGTGCTGGCCAGCAGCAGGGATGTGAGTCCGGAGCAGCTGCTCCTGGTGCAGCAGCTGGTCAAGGAGCTGCCGCGGGAGTTTCTGGCCGGCCTCGACCTGCCGCCCGCCATCCGGAGTCTGTGCATCCAGCTGCTGCACCAGGGACGCAGCCAAGTGGTCAGCCAGCTGGTGGCTGCCCTGCCCGCTCCCAGCCAGAGCCAGGGCAACCAGAACGAGGACGAGTACGGGGCCTTGCTGCTGCAGGAGTTCTTCCGCGCCCACGTCCCGCTGGCACAGACACTCCAGTTCGCCGCTGAGCTCGTGCAGCGGGGCCAGAATCCGCGTGCCCGGCACCTGGTGGTGGAGCTGGCCCTGCGCCGGCTGCCCTCGTCCGCGCTGCACTGCCTGGAGGCGCTGTCCGCCGCCGGCGAGGAGCTGCGTCCGCACTACTTCTGGCCCCTCATCCTGCATCAGCAGCGGCGCGAGGGCGAGAGCGGCCTGCTGCGCCTGCTGGCCGAGATGCAGCGCCTGCGCGTCGAGTGCGACGAGGAGACGGTGCGCCAGTACCTGCTGCCCCACCTCGGCCAGTCGCTGACGCAGCCGGCGGAGGCCATGCGGGCGCTGGAGGCGGCGGGGGTGCGGCCCTCCCTGGCCCTGTGTCCCGTGGTGAGCCACCTGCTGCTGCAGCAGCACCAACAGCTGGACGCGGTTCTGGACCTACTCAAGCGGTATCCCACGCGCCTGGACCTCGCCACCCTGCTCCAGCCACTGGCCTCGCTGGCGGTGAATGTGCGCGCCACCAAGCGCTTCCCGCTCTTCGCCCAGGTCGTCCAGGCGCTGCAGCAGAAGGCGCTGCAGCGGACCGAGGACTTTGTGGGCTCGCTGCTGCTGCAGATGACCGGACCACAGACGCGCCTGCGCCAGGATGTCGTCTCGCTGCGCCGCTTCCTGCACGAGCTGGCTCGCCTGGAGCTGCAGCTCTCGCCGGCGGCCGCCGAGGCCCTGCTCTCGCTGGCCCGCCAGGCCACCCAGGACACCGACCTGGTCCAGGACCTGGCCAAGACGCTGGCCAAGATGCGCAACGCCCAACTGGCCCTGCCCCCGGATGCGGCCTCGCTGCACGGCGGATTCATCAAGCACCCGCGCGACATGAGCCTGGACGAGCTGGAGTGCCACCTGGTGGAGCTGGAGTCCAAGCAGCTGAATCCGCGCGGCGTGCTGCGCCGCCTGCTGCAGCTCTCGGTGCGCAGCGGCCGTCTGGAGCGCGCCCAGCAGCTGTTGGCCAAGTGCCAGGCCCTGAAGGTGCAGACGAGCGCCGGCATGATGGCCTCCATCCTGGACCTGCACATCAAGCTGCGTGACCTGCCGCGCGCCCAGGAGAGCTTGGAGCGGCTGAGCAGCAACTATCCAGGTGGGCAATGCCATTTTGTGTGGGGTGCTCTTAGCTAAGCCCTTTGCTCGTATATTGTAGTCGTTGAAAAGCATGCAACAGGTGGAAATAAGCACTTTCGGCCCTATTATGTATATATTCTTGATTAAGATCAATGGCCTAGTCTGTCAGTCCGTTTGAGCGCTACAATTTTGGAAACTATAAAAGCTAGAGATTGGGGACTTAACATGCTGATTCCAGCTTAGCCAAGTATTGTAGGGGCCAGTAATAAAGCTTTATTCGGTCAATATCTATCGGCTCTTGCAACAACTTTCCAAATCGACCCAATATTTATCAAATAGCTGCCATAGTAACTATTGAATAATTGAGCTGCAAATCATAGCTTCAGTGTTTTTAGATATATACATATCATATATATGATATATATATATCATAATTTTAATGTTTTTAAAAATATTTAATTTTGGCAATAGCTGCAAGGGTATACATATGAACTTCGGTTTGCCGTAGTTTGCTTCCTTTTTTTGTTTTGCAATTGGTTAGCTGAGTAAGCTATTAAATGTGTGTACTTAAACCCCATCTTTTTGCAGCCTTCCAGCTGGACGAGCACAAGGTCATCGACTACGCTGCCCTCTTGGTGCACGGCCAGCAGCTGGAGGCCGCCCAGCAGCTGCTGAAGCGCCGTGCGGAGCAGCACAAGGTCGTGGGCGGCGACTATGTGATCAAGAATGTGTGGCAGCTGCTGACCAACGTGGCCCAGCTGGCCGCCTCACAGACTCCCAAAGATGCTGCCCCAGATGCTGCCCCAGATGCTGCTCCAGATGCTGCTCCAGATGCTCCACCAGAGGGCTCCAAGCAGCCACCGTCCAAGAACCTGACCCACGAGATGCTGGACTTCCTGCGCGGACTGGGCTACTGCCAGTCGCACAACGCCCTGCTGGGACCCGTGGTGCGGGAGTGGCTGCTGAGGGGCGACCTGGACGCGGCGGTGGCCGAGTTCCAGCGCCTGGCCCACAAGCACAAGCACACGCCGCTGCAGTTCGAGCTGCTGTCGCTGCTGGTGCGCCTGGGCAACGGCGATGAGCAGGAGCTGGCCCGCTTTCCCGGCACCACGGCCGAGTCGGCCCAGCAGCACCTGGCCGCGGTCACGGCGACGGTGAGCCGCGTCCATGGGGCGGCCAACATGAACAGCGCCCTGCTGCTCGCACTGGCCGAGTCGGGGAAGGAGACGCAGCTGCGGCGGCTGATCATCAATCCGGAGTTCCGGCTCAACCACGAGCTGCTGGTGAAGAACTGCGAGCACCTGGGCCAGGAGGGCGCCGTGCGGACGCTGCTGCGGTTGGCGCGCGGCGTGCGTGGCGTGCAGCGGACCATCGATGAGCAGAAGATCTACGACCTGCTGCTGGCCCAGTTCTGCCGCCGCAACGACTGCGAGGCGGCGCTGGATCTCTTCGAGCGGCTGGAGGCCGACGACGAGCTGAAGGTGTCGCAGGAGTTCCTGCGCAATCTCGTCCAGCTGCTGCAGGTCAACCGGCTGGAGATTCCCAGCGGCATCGCCCTACGCGCTCAGATTAGATAGCCATAGTCGGTTTAGTTAGTGACTTGCCCTGGGGTGAGTCTTAATTTGTTTTGTACATAAATTGGTTCAGAAAAAGTACCAGGAAGATATGTAGGTAAAATCTTAAATACCTTTGATGGCCTTTGTCTACATGAGCATAGTCCTTTATTTATGTTATCAGTAATCCATTAAATTTTATACGGGTCCCAATACAGACTATACAAGTATAGTTTTTGAAAAATAAAACTACAATTGAAAATACAACGCAAAGTGTTTATTGTTGTATCGAATTCAACAATTAGGTGACTAAAAATAAATATTAAAAATAAAAAACAAATGTGCATTGATCTGCGGCTTTTTAATTTTGCTACATCGTCTAAATCGGGGAAAATATGGAATTACAAAAAAGTGGAATTTTATTTAATGTCATGGTCATTGAGGTTTTAAGCTGAGAAAAAATACATTTGGCAGTCTTTAACCTTGAGCTTGATCAAATCATTATTAAATCAAGAATTGAGTTTTCCTAAAGATCATTATTTGTAATTTAATTGTTTTTACTAATTTGTATAGTACTTTTTAGATATTTTGAAATCATTTAAAATTAAGCTTTTTCTGCCACCTGGCAACTCTAACGTGTGTCGCCATTTCTTGTGTCCGCCATTTTGTCAGCTTTTGCTTCCCGCTTTCCAGGGAACTCTCTTCCAGAGAACTTTAGCCCGCAGGCGCAACGCATTTCAGTTTGGACTTCCAAGGTGGCAACATGTCGACGTTTGCTCTCCGTTTCTTAAGCTGCTCCTTCAAAAAACATTTACCCAAACCACTGACCAGGATGTCGCTGCTGGAGGGCAGTCCAGGCAACAGTTTAATCTAGCCGGCTCCGTCACCTGGCTCCTTTCCAGGCCTTCCAAGAGCTGTGGAATTTGTGCACCGCGAGTCTAGACCTGATGCCACTTTCTCCAGCCAGTTGCTGGAGCCCTACATGGTGCCCTACTTCACGGACAGGGTGTTTGGAGCAGCAGAGCAACCATGTGCTCCAACCATGTGCTCCCTCAGGCCCATTTGTTGCCAACGCGAAAGGCGCGCTCCGTGCGCCGTGATCAGAGCCGCAAATCCGTCGGGATAGCTTTTCCCAAAGTGTACTTCAGTAGGCCTTGCATGCCGGACGATTTGCTCTGTGGACTGTCAACTGGAACCTAATAACAGACAGACACACAGTTTTTAAGCACGTAGCATACACTAGCCGACTCTGCCATTCGGATCCAAATTTCAGTTCTCATTTAAAAACGCAAACCGTTCAATTTGTGCATGTTCCGAGCAATTCTAAATCCGACAATGAAGAGGTTGACCCGACGGCCCGTTTCCGATGAAGAGAAGGCTCACCTGCTGACCCACGATGAAGACCCTGACATACAGGTCTTCCTGTCGGTTACCACCGTCACGCCGCTGTATCAAAGGGATGCGGCGCGACCACAGGAAGAGCCAAAGCCACAACCACAGTCACAACCACAATCACAGCCAGAGGAATCTCAGCTGCAGGATCAGCAGGACAAGGACATTGAGCAAGACAAGAAGGTGGAGCCGGAACTGGAACTGGTGCTGGAGCTGGAGGTGGAGCCAGAGCCAGAGGCACTCGAGAGCGGCGCCCAGGGCGACAACGAGCAGTCGGACAATGAGGCGGGGCCGGCCCCCCCGACACCCGGCCACACCAGCGAGGTGCAATCCTGCCCAGCGGGCGATGATCCTGCCCAGCTGAAGGCGCTGGCCGGGCGCCAGCAGATCGCCAAGCTGCTCAAACGCCTGGGCGACGGCGCAGAGGGTGATGGCGAGGCCAACCAGATCGTGATGGAGCTGCTCGGCAGCCGGGACGACAATCCCACCTCGGCCATTGAGCGCATCACCGAGCAGCTGCTGGGCGTGCTGCGTGAGCAGACGCTGATCGAGGCGGGGATCACCATCGGCAACGAGCGCTATCGCTGCTTCAAGTGCGTGCTGCAGAACTATGCCAAAATCTATGCGGCACGTCGCTTTATGGAGCAACTGCCGCAGCTGGGCCAAAACGCGGAGCTGCAGGAGGAGCACGAGGATCTGGTGCTGTTCGCACGCGTCGTGGCCGAAGATGTGCTGCAGATACCGGAGCTGTTGCGCCAGCTCTGGTCGTCGCTGGAGAAGATGGAGTTCTTCAACGAGGACACCGCCTTCACGGCCTACCTGGAGGCCCGCCGCCATCCGCAGGCCCGCATCCTGTGCGAACTCATGCTCACCCGCATCTCTCGCGTCTTCCTTTGCATCGTGAGCTCCACATTCTTCCTGGAATTCACTGAGCACGAGCTCACGCACATCCTGCGCAACTGCTACCTCAGCGTCAACTCGGAGATCGAGGTGAGATTCTATTGATTCTAATAAACTCTGTAAAATCTGGAATCCATTCCCCCTTCAATCCTCTGCAGATATTCCTCTCTGTGTTGCTCTGGCTGGAGCACAACTGGTTTGAGCGTGGCGAATGCGCCGAGCGAGTCCTGGCCGAAGTGCGCTTCGCCCTGATGCCTACCTGGTACCTGTCGACTTTGGACAGAGCCAACCGCTGCCGCCACTTTTCGCGGGTGATCCAGATCTCCGGAGTGCAGCGCATGATTTCCCAGGGCCTGGAGTAGGTGACAATATCGTTTATCGTTTAACTAAAATTGTCTATATATTCTGTTCGACAGCGATGCCGTGATTCTCAAGAGTAAGCCCGGCTCCAGTGGTGCCGCTGGAGGACCCTGCCACCTGGAGACCCGGGAGGAGGCGCAACTGGAGCGCGACTGGATCGCAGACACCGAGTGCAGACACCACCACAAGCGCCACTGCGAGCGGTTCGTTTACCCAACCTACGACACGTTCAAGGAGTACCTGGCCAGGATCATCTGTTGCACGCCCAACTATTGGCGCACTTTCCGGCCCGCTCAGGAGGTGTACCGCAGCGACTTTCGCTGCTGCTCGTCGCCCCATTTTAACTAGACCCCTTCCCTGCATTTTTGGCCTTCTTGTTCCGCCCGCAACCGACTTTGCGGCTTAAATTTTACGTTGGAGGATGTCTCTTCGGAGCAAAAGAGAGTCTGTCCGTCCTCTGTGTCTACTGTACTTTTAGCAATCCCAATTCCATATCACCGGCGAGTCCCAAGGCACCTTAAAGAAGCGGTCCTGGCGACTCGTGTCAGCAGTCGTTGTAAATATTTCATTACTTAAAATATAAAATACTGCCAAGCGGAAATATCGCATTTGTTCTTTCAGCAACAAGCAGCTGCACAATGATCAGCTGTTTAGCCTAAAAGCCGTTTGCTTCGAGATGTGCGCGTGCCTAAGCTTTCCTTCACGCTTCATGCAAATATTTTCAAACTTCGTGCCTAGCGTGCCGAATTCGTGACACGAACAAAGAAACAAGCGGTTTGCCCATCTCCATTTGGAACTTAGTTGCAAAATAACGGATGTCTTCCAGGGGTGTGGCTTCGTGGCAGCCATCCTTAAAATAAAACAGCTGAACAGCTAAACACTTGCTTAAAACTCCAGGTACTTGCTGAGCATTCTGTTTGCCTGGTACTACAAGATCAGAACTTATCCAGGTTGCATTGAAAAAATTGGGTTGGTCGGTCTAAAATTTCGATTTCTCACTTTGAAACACCAGGCGATCATAAGGCCTTAGTAGGTGACCGACTTTTCGTTTTTGCCGTTTACCAGGGGCGTAGTCAGAATTTTGGCTAGGGGTCCTAAAATTGTTATTTAGGGGCGTTTAGAGCCCAAACCCCTCTCCTCACTGACTATGCCTCTGTGTGCTGGAACAAAAGTAACGGTTGTTTTTCGTAGTCTGTAGGCTGCGTTCCCATTGGCTGACCAATAGGAGGGCTCCGCTAAATAAATTCCTAGAACCCAGCAGCCACCTACTGGCACTTCTGTTGGCCTGGTGTCAAAAATCAGAGAATTGATTTTGAAACCTCAAGTCAGGCTTTTTACTCGGTTTCAATTTCGGAGAATTCTCGAGATCAAACACCAGGCGAACAGAAATTTCAGAAGGCTGCTGTGCAGTTTGAATAGCCCGGCGCGCCCAAGTGCATGCAACAAAAACTTAAAATTCGCATACTGGCCGGCATATCCTGCAGGAAAGTGTTTATTGTCAAGAGAGCTTTTGTCAGTGAGGGCAATGATCGGATGTCATTTATTTTCAGCCGAAAAGTATGCAATTCTTACAGCAAAATGATGCTACAAAATTGTAATTTACAGCCTGAAGAAAAATACAAATATTACATTTTCCAATTAATTATTATTTGTTTTTATTTTTGGGAATATTGTAAACATAGTCAAAACACGTGGGAATGAGTGAGTTCTCCTTCTATGTGTAGGTGCCTGTGACCTCCGCCGGCAGCCCCATCCTACCATTGCCCTAGTCATCGTCATCATCATCCTCATCGTCGACGTCCTCCAGCCACTTGGCGATCGACAGCCGTCCCTCGATGTCGGCGCTGCAAAGACGCTGCTCAAATTCTGCATACGAAATCCGGTCGCAGTCGTTGAGCCCGAAGGCCTGTTGTTCCAGGAGCTGCAGTTCGACCTCCACTTCGGGGCACTTGCGGTCCTGCTGATCCGGCTGATTCCAAAGCGGATCGATCACACGGTGCATGATGTGGCGGAAGACGTCGCGCGTGATGTGGCCTGTGCGTCGAGTGTCGAATATCTGGGAGAGGAGGCGCAGCTTCTGGGCGCGCCCGTTGCGGCGTATGAACGAGTCGGAGTGGGTGCCGCAGGAAAACTGCGGCACCAGGATGATGGCGCAGGTCTCCACGAACTGGTCGAATTCGAGGCGAGCGCCGGCCAGCCCGCGACTGGGAAAGAAGCCGTCCACGATCTGGCGGTGCAGCGGATTGAGCGAGAGTTGCGGGATGCGCAGCAGGTCGGTGGGCGTCAAGTAGCCGCGCTGGTGGCGGTCCAGACTGCGGAACCGCGTGTGCAGCTGGTCCAGCTGCTCGGCGGACAGGCCCGTGGCCTGCTGGTGGTCAACCAGTTCGGCGGGATTCAGATGCAGACTTTCGACTGCTCCCATGCTGATTTTGTTGCAGTCGCTCGAGTTCCAGGACATATAAGTAATCTGAAGTGATAAAGTTTAAATCTCGTATTGACCTAACAGCAAATACAAGGTTAACTTACAACGTTCCGAGTCGGGGTCCCAAAAATATATATAACTGATTCATTCACAATCGTGCCATATTGCATATTATTTTTAGAAATAACTATTTAGAGAGTGGTGGAGTTGTTAGCAGTGCATGTTGCAAGTGCCAATGTTCATTTAATAATCTGAAAAGGCATAGAAATTATTTTCAATTTGATACACCAAAAAAAAGTAGTAAATATTTAATAAAATTGAAATTAACTCTAATCATATTAATCCTAAATATATTGCATACATTTTCTAACCAAATTTAAAAATATTATTATTAAATCGCACAAAGAAATTGCTTTCAATTGTAATACTGGTAAAAATAAACGTAGTAAATTCAAGTATTTTATGCTCAATTTAAATATTTTTCAAATTGATTTTCATCCATATGAGAATATTTAATTTGTTTTTAATGATTTATTTGTATTACGTGTTGAGTTTATACTTATTTGAAATATGAACTATAATGTTTCAATTCAATAGTCATTTATTTAGTTTTACTATTCCATTCTTCTATTTCATTGCTAAAATTCAACAGGTTTCCTGTTTGAATCTCTGGCAGATCTATATGTTATTTGCATTGGTTTAAATCCCTGTTCGAGGAGACAATTGGCAGAACCAGCGGATGCCAGCGGAAGCCAGCAGATGGGACCCGACCTTGGGGCAAACGACATCGAAATAGTGGAAGAGAACTCTCTTGGCAGTATTTCTGTGTCATTTTCATTTGTTGACTTTTGCAAAATAGCGCATAAATCAAAACGGGCGCTGTCAAGGCCGCAGGTCGAGAGAAAGAGAGAGAGAGAGAGAGAGGGAGGCAAAGCCACTTCCGCGCCATCGTCGCCTTTGACGCACTATATATCGAGAGTGCTATATCTTTAGACCCCTCCTCCGCTTATTCCGCCTCCTTGGCCGCCCACGCCCCAACCCCCCTCCCCCCATCCTCAGGGGCGGCGAAGACGCCACGGTGCGTGTGCCTTGGCCGGCTGCCAGTTGACAAAGACCCCCTCGCATCGCCTCGCCTCGCCCCGCCGCCCCTGGTGTCCACCTAAAGTAATTGGCCTGCTTTCGTTGCGTGCTTGTCCCATGGCAAGGCTGGATCTGGATGGCAAGGTAAAGTGTTCAGCACAAAAAAAAAAAAAAAAAAAAAAACAAACCACGACGCCTAACAAGTTTGCAACGCCTTTCAAGACACTCCTCCCTCCTGAAAAACAATAACTGTTTTCAGCTTAATAAAATTCGTAAGTTTATTACTGATAACTGGTACTAAGCAAAAGAATATTATAGCGAAGAACGAAAGACGTGAACATTTTGTATTTGATTGGTCTACTTTATAATCATTTTTCGTGTCAAAATTTAGTATCAGAAAAATGAGCCACGTTTCCGTAGGTTAAGTTAAACTAACCTCTTACACAAATGCTAAAACTGGACTAGTTTTTCAAAATCGACCGGGGATGGAAAATATAAAAGCATAAAACAGTCAGTCAATGTTTTGGCTAAGTTACAACAACAACTATTGAGAAATATGTTTTTATTTTGAAAATTTAAAAAAAAAACTAAAAAATAACACTGTAAAAAAAGGTGTTGTATGAAAGTAATGGTTAAAACTTGGAATGTCCAACAACGTCAAAATTCGGCATGTCAAAAATTTTTTTTTTATTTTTGCAAATTTAATGAAATAATGGTTTTAATAAAAATGTTATTTGTAACAAAATTAGAATATCGAGTTTTCGCGGTATTTTCATTTTATATTGGCTCTTTTTTATACGCATGAAAAAGTGTTTAGTTGAAACCATCTATTTTCCAAGAGGAAAAGTGGTTGGTACACTAACAGCTTTGGACCGTGGAAGCAACGTAAGCCACGCTGATTCAGAACCAATACGCAATCCCTGTGGGCTAATGACAACGAGTAGTAGCTATTGCCAATGCAATTAGCTTCGACCTCTGTGGCTATGATCGAGCATACAAATTACGAATATGCTTTGCATATAGAATCGCGCGATCCAAACGATGCTAAAAATACGTACAGAAAAACTCTTACATTTAACGATCGCCCGATTCCACTTGCAGCCGAGCTGAGTAATGCGCAGAAATGTGTATGAGAAGCGTTTTTCTTCTCAACATTTTGAAGGAAAATATAATTCGTATATGAAGAGAAAAAATAATGAAAAATGCGAGGCACATGCCGCCGGCTGTCCGCTGGCTGCCTCACTCGCCGCATTTCTTCCCCGAGGCTGAGAGCAAAATCGACGAAAGGCCCGCGCTGCCGAGCAGTGTCAAAAACGCGTCAAGATCAAAGCGAGCACGAAATTTCACCGCCCAGTTGCCAAATGCAACGATAAATTGGCCGGCCACACTAGACAAGAACAGCAACCACATTGGTCATCGTTAAATACTCACAATGGGGGTCGCATGATTAGCCTCTTACTTTTGTCCTTTATAGGATAGGAAAAGATACCCCTATCAATTTGCTCTTTGATACTTCTCGTATTACTTTGATAGGTAAAAACACAGAGAGAAAAAGCGAAAAAAAAACTTTTTTTTAAATAATTTTTCATTACAAATTCTAATTATAAAAGGACTTTGCAGGCCCGCTACATTTCGAAATAAACTCTTTGGTTTAATCCCTAACAGCCCGATTATAAACATTTCGACGCTATCATGGCCACCACAACTGTCCGCATAATTCCTCGCTTTCCTTTGGCGCGTACAAATTGCACAAAATGTTTTATGTTTGTTCAACAATTTGCGGCCCACTGCTGCCATATGTCCGAGGCCCGATGTTCGTTTGCCATTCGAATTCGAGTGAGTCAGGCTGGCAGGCGGCAGATGGATTGCATTGGATTGGATTCGACTTGCTGATGCCATTACTGCAGCGGTATAATGAGACAAGTTTAATGCATTTAAATAAACTCGATTACCGGACCAATCTGCGAGTGCAGCCCTGAGGGGCAACGCTCTCCATATGGCACTCCCACAATCCCGCACTCCCACTCTCGCAAGCTGAATGCAATGCACTAAGGCTCCGTGTACACTGGCGCTAATATGATTCCTACGAAAAGTCCTTCGACTTCGAAAGAAAGTTGTAGATAAGAGTGAAGAATGGTAAAAATTTGGGTTTACTTGCAACCTTTAATAAAACAAAGCTAAGTTCAAGTCCTAGATAAAAGTTCCGCATTTCCAAAAACAAAAAAAAAATTGTTGTTTTTTCTTGTTGTCAATTTTAGTGAGCGTGATTACGTATTATCCTTCGCACTTGCAAAAAAAATAAAATAAGTGTGAATAATGGTAAACGTGTCTGAAAATTGTAAAGATAGGATCTAGAACAAATTCAAGTAACTTTGTGCCTAAAATGCATAAAAAATACCTATATTCTTAAAGGGAAACGAAAAAAATCGACCCAATCCAATGGGTACTAAGATATTTTTCTATAAAAAAAAATATTTTTATTTTGCAAACGCAGAGGGGTCAAACGTGATTTAAGACACGTATGCCTGCGCTATTTTTGGGCACTCAAATTGACCCACCCTAACATTCATATAATGTACAAGAACATATAACCATAAGTATTTGGGCATTTTTGTTGTTCTCTTTTTGAGAAGGAGCTGGGATGCGGCTGAGCACTCCAGCTTTGTAAAGTATAAGATTTCTGTTCCTTTTCTTAGCCTTTTGCGCCGCCACCCCATCAACCTACGACTCTATGGACGAAAGCAGAAACAATAATAATATAATAATCAAAACATTTTAAGCGCCTCTCAAGGTTGTCCGCTGCTGGCAAACAAGTATCGCAGAGAGTGTTCGTATGTTTTCTATTTTTTTTTTTTGGGGGGAGGGGAGTGTTGTTGGTAGTAGACTGGCGAATGCCCTACTGCAACAACAAAAGCAGCGACACAAATGTAACAATAACAAAAGGCGGAATGGCGAGGGAGGAGGTGAGGTAGCGCCACACAAAAAAAAGCAAATGACAGACAACAAATTGTGGAGCGACGCTATTTTTTACATTTTGCTAGCGTTCTTTTTTCCCCTCCGCTGCTCTGCCCGCTTTTGTTGTTTTTGTGTTGTTGATTTAGCGTTAGTTTTGATTAATTAATTTCCTGACTAATTCATCCACAATGCGCGACTCGCTGGAGCCACAGCAAATGTGCCAAAAAAAACAGAGACTACGGAGCTGCGGAGAGAGACGGGGATAGAGGAGCCAGGGCAGCGGGAGCGAGTTGGAACAAAAGTAATTGCGAATAATTGGAAATGATTGCGTTTTGCTTTTTGGGACTGCGAAAAATTCTTTATTAGAGCAGCGCGACGAATGGAAAGGGAAATGGAAAATGCAGTGAATATATCGGGGAAAATAAAAGCCAAACCGATAATTGCATCTAGTTAAATCAGGTGAAAAACGAAACAAAAATAATGTCATTATTCATGAAATAGCTAAGTGTCATCGTCTAATCACACAGCTGTCCATTTTTGAGCACTTTCTTTAGCACAAGCGAAAAGAACAAGTGTGAAGTTCTAAAACCCTGAAGAGGTACCATAAGACAATCTAATACGATAATATGGGATATGAAAATGTTGCCAGATATCATTAGTGTAAGGCTCGGGTGTTTTCAGGCGGCTGGCGAATCATCGCTTTCGCTGCTCGGCAGATGCTTACGAACTTTACGGCAGACTGATTGGCTGGAGATTCAGCGGCTAAAAATAGTTGTGTTGGCCTGGGCTCATAGGCTACGAGCAATCGCGAATGTAAATTTAATAGATAGGCGGCTTGGGCGGGCGCTTCTATAAATATTTGCCCAACTAACCCAACGATCCGAGCCGTGTCGATCGGATCGGAGTATCATGAATATTATCGACGACGCACCGCCGTTGAGTCATGCGCAAATAACGTAGCTCATTAGAAATTCAAAGCCACCCCGGCTCCACCACTTCGTCCTCCTTCCCCATTGCCACTCGCCTGTGGAGTAACATAAAACCACCGTCCAGCACTGTCATTCAAATGCAAATAAGCTTAATCAAAAGCAGAGCTAACCGACGGAGCGTCTGAGCGGCTTTTTGGCCAGACCCAAGTGCCAGCTAGCGATGCGCGTTTCGCTATTTTTCACGAGCTTTCGAAAATTCAATGGATTTTAAGACTTATGCAAAATGGAAAACCGTTTACATAGGCCTATTAAGGTCCTTAATGTCTTGAAGATCAATATATGATTGACCTCCACCAACAAAGAGTACAACCTTCCGTTCCGACAACTACCATCTCGACATTGCACTACCTCTCGTATACGTAACATACATTTTACATGGTCTCCATTACTCACGATACACCCAGGCTCCACTGCTGTACCTTTATCTTGATTACACCTACAAATATTTAAAAAGTTATATATAAATTATATAAATATTGACGACAGATATACTTACGATAGGCAGAGCACCTTATAATATTTTAGACCACCCTCACGAAATCTTTGGTTCACGAATCGTGATTCATGAACATCTCATCTCCCATCTGAAGAAAGACAATCGCCGGGTGGGTTGACAAGTTGGCAGCTCAGCGGGGCTTCGGGCAGGGGTCCATGGTGCTAGGGTGTTAATGAAAACAGCAAAACGGTTTTAATCACAAAATATATATTTGATTTGCATATAAATTATTATTATTGTGGTTTATTGTGTGTGTGTGCTTTCTTAGCAAATTTAGAGTGGACAAGCCATTGCAAACATTGGGCAAAGGCTCTAATCAGCTTATTGATATTTTTCGACTTTCAGCACCCAGTTTCAACACCGGCCATGTTGGCAAGGATTGAATAACAGATGCTAGTAACCTCTAATTTCATTTAATTTTTAGCATGATGTTATAAAAAAAAAGTCGAAAAAAACTTTTATGGTGAAAAATAAAAGTCAACTTTTATAGACAAAATTTGGCTTGAACATGACTTATAATTCTTTTGCTTTAAGTTATGTCCGCTAATATCATTACATTTAAAAATAAAACAAATAGTTGTAACTCAATTTAAAAATAAATAATTCTCCCACAGATGGCGCCAGCAATTCTATTTGGGCGACAAGCCGTAATGTCGAAAGCGCCATCTTTTGTAGTAAACATAGATAAAGATATTGGTTTGACTTAAATTATTTAAAAACTTCTGAAATAATTGTTTGATTTTGAAAATCAGTGGTGTGTCCATAAATATAGACGAAATTGAAATATACCGTCCAATAGCTGACCTCTACCATGTCCACAGAGCTTCGCATAGCTATGTAGTATCTGCATGTTGAATCCCAAATCACTTCACAAGTAAAGGGGTAGAGATGGGGAAAAAATTAAACACCAAAAATTAATTTTCCCTGTAAATGTACAAAATGGAGAAATCCAGGAAAGAAACCAAGGCTGCACACCTAACCCCAGGCAGACAGAAGCCCCACCCCTTGTCACCTCGGTTGGCCTATGGCCGGGGCCGTACACCCTCGCAGATAGCGGACGATCGTGAAATCATTTGGCGAAAATAGCGACAATTACTTGACGCAATTAATAAATTCAAGCGGGCAACTATTGGCAATAAATTATAAGCCCCCGGCTGATAAAGAGACCTTAGTGGACGGATCGGCGGATCGATGGATTTATCGATCGTTGGTAACGAGTTGTAATTGCTAATAATAACCGAGGGCCGAGCGAGGGAAATCGCGAACCGCAGATCGGAACTGGAGTCCGCGGATTGGCCGGCTGAGTCGGTTTATCGCCCGCCAATCGCCGTACTGATTGATACCCGACACTAAGGGCTGAAGGGTGTGAATGTGGGTGTGCGGTGCCTAAACACCCCGATTAGATTGCCACATTAAGTCATGCTCTATATGGGGGCGCGTTCGCGATCGCGATAGCTATCTCTACCGGAGCTATGCTCGAACTTTTTTGGCTATTGTCCGCAGATATCCCCAGCTATTTGCGCAGTGGTAATTTCTTTGTCTTCATGTATTGCATCCTAAATCATAAGCGAACAAAATACATATAAATAAGCATGCACACCGCCAAATTAAAAACACCAACTCACGGCCGAATGAATGAAATATTGTAATCTCCATTCCAATTCTATTCCACTCAGAGTTCACTTGTAGGTTGAGGATATGATTCACTTCAATTGAGAACATTCCACTGCTCAACGGTCGCTATCAGGCAGGGGCGTTGCACAGGGGGGGCTTAGCCAGCACCACGTTTACCCTTAAAAAACCGACGCCCCTGATCCCTGAGCCTTATCAGCAGAGAACTACTCCAAGCTTCAGTGTGCTTAGCAGTGGCGTTGTGTCCGCTGAGTCCGTTGAGTCCGCTCTGTGCGGTCTACTTCCCTTTTTCCGACGCCGGTGAATATCAAAAGATTCCATCTACACTGGAACTGAGTGCCCCTTGAGCTAATGGCGCAGAGCTAGAGCTAGAACCCAACCCCTTAACCCCAACGAAATGATATAGGTTTGGGAAGTGGCACATGTTCTTGTATGTATGTGCGTTTAAAACATTGTAATTTAAAGAATTATCAGAAGTAGGAACTAGTTTTTTTATTTTCCATCCTGTAGTCAAAATATAAATAAAATATAACCTATATTATTAACTGCTCAAAAGCATTTCAATAGAAAAATTCCTGAATTCACGTGTAATCGCAAAGCAACCCTAGAAAATCCTCTATTGGGCCAGCACATAACACTTTTAGGGTTAAGTCCACGCACTATTTTAGTTTCTTCAGCATCTAGAAGAATTTAAAAATAATATCTAAGCTACATTTGTAAACAAAATTTGTGCAATTTTCCGTTTCTTTTGGTTAGAAAAGACCTCAAACCATTCCAAGAGAAAAATTCCTAAATTCTTGTGTAATCTCATGGCAACCCCCCAGCAAACCCTCAATTGGGCCTATACATGACACTTTTAGGGTTATGTCCACGCAACAGACACCGTGCATGTCTGGGCTCAAAAGGGGAAAGTCGGGATCTGGTGGGTTCTGGGCTCTTGGCTCTGGGCTCTGGGTTTTGGGTTCCGGGTTCGGGCAATCGTTTGTTGACGCCATTAACCACACGTCGAGCCAAATCACATAAGCAAATATGCTGGGCCACCCCTTGCCGTTTCACCTTCATTAAAAAAAGCCAGCGGCTGTCCGTTGGAAATGATTGGGGATTGGGGATTGGGGATTGTGGACTGTGGATTGGGGAAACCTGTGACCTGTGTCCTTCGAGTGTTTGAATTAATTGCGTAGCGCACGCCCGCCTGGCGACCACTGGTGGCCTTTTGGGGTTGGGTTGCGACCGGTGGGTGGTGGGCGTTAGAAGTTGTTGTGCAGTGGGCGGCAGCAAGGCAACCTCGGCCCACACAATAAATGAGTTTATGCCCTAGTCCACCGCTGACGCCGGCGTCGCCGCACATTCAGTCCCAGTTTGAGGTCCTCCGTTCTCAGTTTTGCATCCAATATCACTGTTGCTAACTTGGCTATGTTATGCTAAGCATAGAAAATAACTAATTTAAAAAATAAAACATTAAAAACTTACAACTTAAACTTTTTATATGATTTTAACTGTTAGTAATCGTGAAGTAGCTTTTCACAGGACTTAATACATTTTGGGATGGCCTGAATCACCATTCAAAGGCAGCCGACAACAGTCAACACTGGCGAGAGCAGAATTTGTAAGGGGTTACTAAACCTTATAAAACTCTTTTAATAATACTTGTTCCTTCCTTTTTATTAAACAAGTCATAGTTTTAAAATAGTTTTTGTTAAAAAAAGTATTGTTTATTAAAAAATTTCCTTATTAACACAAGTGATAATAGTAGAACAGGCTGCTGTGTGAATTTAGCAAGAAAATCAGAAGTTATAACAAAAATTAAATTGCTCATTTAAAAACAGGGATGAACGATCATTTACGGGGGTACACTATTTAAATTCAACCAATCAATTATAATAATAATGAGAAGAAAAATAAATACCTATTAAAAAGTTTCCTAACCATAATTAAAGAACAGGCGTCTCAATACTGTCTGAATTTAGCTACTGGAAATGCCAGACTGAGCAGCACTGCTGCAAACTACACCCTGCATAGCACATACCCTTGTCCGTTGTCCGTTGTCCGTTTGGCGATGTCCGCCTGTTGGCGAACGCGTGTTGCTCGTCGAGTACATAAAACTGGCGCCACAAGTCTGCACACAAAATGGCGGCCCACTTGGCCCACAGGACCTGGACTGAGACGCCCCACCATTTGCCATCTACCATTTGCCGTCTACCATCCGGAAGGTCCCAGGACTTGAGCTCCGGCAAGGCAATGTCTCCATCGGCGGCGCTCTTTCCCTCCCATCACCCGACCCGCTTTATTATACAATCGTAATTTCGTATCGTAAAAGCGGGCGTCGAAAAAATGTGAAAGAAAGTTTTCGTGTTGCGTGCAGGACCTCGCTCCATGGGTCTTTTATTTTTTGGAATATACGCGAGGGGAAGGGAGGGGAGGGAAAGTTGAAGTTTTCGGAGCGTGGGGCCGACCCGTCCGTAAATCGATACGAAGTATATCCAAAACAATGCAGAGTTTCGCTTTCAAGGTAAGCTTGAGAGAGCTTTCGGGAGTGGCCTCAGTTGGGAAAGAGTATGGAATAAGTCTTGACCACAGAAATGGGTCACCAGTTGCCAACTGTCATTGTCACTGTTGCCGTTGCTTCAGGGATTTGGCGAAAGTATAGAACCATCCCGATTAGGAGTTCAAATTAAAAGAAATTGTAAAATTTAATGGCATTTTTTAAGGTGCTTTTTTTGCGTCTTTGGAGATAAAATTCCTAAAGCGTCCTTTTGTTGTAACTTGACCAAAATTAAAGGCTATAAAAGTGACTGTTTTGAACATCTGGCAACCTATTCTACCCATTCACAATCGGTTTAGAACAACTAATTTTAATGACGAATTCGCCAATGTATGACATTCCATCTTGTGACCATTTTTTCTCAAGGGTTTGATACAAAAACCGACAAAAACCGAAAACCGATTTAGGTCCTTTTTTCGGTTTTTGTAGATTTGTCATATGCAAAAATCATAAAGCGTCCTTTTGTTGTAACTTGAAAAACAATTTACATATCAAATCTTTTTGCCATGATTTTACTTGTGTGTAGTATGTTAACTATACTATAATATGCTATCAAAATATGAGTAAATAGGTCTTTTCCCTTGTCTTAATTTTTTAAAGCATTTGAAACATTAATAAATAGCCTTAATTTCTGTTCTTCTTCCGCAAAGGACACCTGCTGATGGTCTTTTAAAAATCTTTTTTTCCTGATCTTTTCATATGTATATAAAAAAAGGTTTTTTTGAAACCCAAAGAACCCACAGCCAGTATAGGGTATCGCTGAATCGATAAATTCCACTCACTTCTTTTGATTGCTGTGCTCAATGTCTGCTTGCTTTCCAGTCGCTTAAATGCTAATTGAAGTTTATAAGGGGTGGCCGCCGTGGAGACTGGTTAACTGAGGGATTGACCGAGTGAAGGACTGCAGAGTGACGCCTTGGCTGTCGTGTGGCCGCCCCACGATATTGATCCGCTTTTCCAGGAAACTGGCTACCCACACAGAGGAGG